GCTGTTAGTTTTCTCATTTGAATTGTTTTACATATGTCATTTCAGGGCATTTTATAGCTGACTATGCGGTATGGGTTTTGCTCATTGTTGAAGGCCATACAGTGACCTATAGTTGTTAAATTTTTACATCATTTGGTCTCTTATGGAGAGTTGTCTCATTGGCAATCATACCACATCTTCTTATTTTATATAAACTGTGCCACTTTTACTATAAATTTTCATAAATAAATTGTTGACCCAGAGATATGTCTCGTCTGTCTGCATGAAATTCAGAAAAAGACAATCAGATGGACAGCAATATTGCTAATTAATTCAAAGTCACTGGACCATGAACTAGGGGACAGGGCCTCAAAATAGTCATTAAACTTTGGTATTTACAAAGTGCAACCTATACTAACATTTATTTAAATTAAACAAAAATTTTGCAATTTTTCCATTTATAAAGGAGCATAACTCTAGAACGGTTAAAGTGACGCCACCAAAATTCAAACTTGATCTGTGTTTTCTGGTAATAAGCATTGTGTATAATTTTCGTAACATTTGGTTGAGGCAAACTTAAGTTAGAGAACGGAAACTAAAAATTTTGCAATTTTTCCATTTATAAAGGGGCATAACTCTAGAACAATTAAAGTGATGCCACCAAAATTCAAACTTGATCTGTGTTTTGTGGTAATAAGCATTGTGTATAAGTTTCATAACATTTGGTTGAGGCAAACTCAAGTTAGAGAACGGAAACCAATTTTGGGACGTATTTACGTACAGTCGGATAAGGGTAAAACTTAATGCCTCCACAGCTACGGCGGGGGCATAAAAATCTTGAAAAACACTTTTTCTTACAACAATACTTATTTATCAGAAGCATAGGTTTGTGAAACAGCTGTATTTACATATAGCAACCTATAGTATCTGATGAAAATGAGGTTAAGGTCATATGAACCCTGACAGACAAGTACACCTCACAATTGTTTCAATACACTAAATATAATCGACCTATATCGGAGAAATAGACCAAACCACAATAAAAACTAATCATTGTCCATTGAACCATGAAATTTGAGTTCAAGGTCATATTAAACCTGTCAGTAGGACATGTACACCTTACAATCATTCCATACACCAAATACAGGACTTGACCACCTAACTGAGCATATCTATGTCTGGCATACTGTGACTTTCAGGTGAGACAAAAATGAGATCAAGATCAGGTAAACCCTGTCTGGCAGACATATAGAACTTGCAAGCATTCCATTTACCAAATAGTTATCCTGTTACTAATGAGAAATTTATGTGGCAAAAGAAAATATACCGGTAGCTTATTAGGAAATTTTGTAAGGGTTCCACGGAACCCAGTGTCTCGCCTACTTTTGCTGTTAGTCGCAGGCTCAACAAAAATAGGGAAAAAATTATTAAAAATTTTCCTCTAGGTACGATCTTTTGATTGTAAGAAGCTTCTGTCCAAGTTTGGTACAAATCCAGGATAGTTTAAGAAAGTTATTAACATTTTTAAAACTTTAACCACAGAGTGAATGTAATATTAATGTTAACTGGCAGAAAAACTAAGTCCATTTATAAGTAAAATACAGATAAACAGTATTTTTTTTTTACAAAATTTACTTCTGGATACTATCTTATGATCATAAACAAGCTTCTGTCCAAGTTTGGTAGAAATCCAGGATAGTTTAAGAAAGTTATTAAAATTTCAAAAACTTTAACCACAGAGTGAATATTTGTGGACGCTGCCGCCGTCGACGACGGAATGTAGGATCGCTATGTCTCGCTTTTGCGACAAAAGTCGCAGGCTCAACAAAAATGAGGTCAAGGAAATATTACGTACAGAAGCTTCATAACAAAAGACATTTTCAAAATTGAGTTTTCTTCTTCCAATTCAAACATCTCATACAAGTTTCACATAATTTGATAAAAGGATTCTCAAGTTTTTGTAAGATGTGGGGACGAAAAACGACAGAGGAATACCATAATATGGCAGGTATAAGTTGTGGTATAATTGCTTACAGGAAAATATCTACCCGACACTTAAGAATGAGGATGAAAACAACTACAGATCATTGTATGGTGTAATGGTTATTACTTGTTAATTTCACCAGCAATTTTAATGACGATTTGGACATGCTTCAAGCATCAGCCTAACCAAACGTGCTGGATTTGTATTGATACTCTGAAATGCCTCACAAATGAACCATATGGCAGCTGGTAGACAAAGTCTGGAAGCACATTCCCTTTTTCCAGAGTAAGGCATCCTATTTGAAATCCCTTTGGCCCTATGCAAATTTGCAACTATGACGGTAAAGATAAACATGCCAACCTTGACAAACTTCTTGCATATGAACCAAGAGATCTTTACAACACAGTTCATTCTCAAAACAAAAACAAAATTAAGATGTTACTTAGTTGCAAAAATTTAAGACATATTTTAATAAAAGAGAGGGAATACAAGTGTATGCATGCATATATTGACATTCCTCTATAAGGTATTAATAATCATGATAAAATTTGAATTACTTTGTCGTTATTAAACAGCTTCATAGGTCCAGGGAACAGCATGTGCTCCATGATGAAAATTGGAAGGGACAGGATAATATCAGTATGGTCATGAAAGTTGGATAAATTGGGGAGCGCACAAAAAATAAATGATTGGGATCATAAATTCAAATCTCACATTCAACCTGCACTGGAGGTGGCTTGGCAGAAATCAATCCCCAATGCCTCTCCCAACTATTTTGAGTGTTTTTTATATGTAAAATATTACACAAGTAAGAGTTGAGTGGTAGGTACTGTTTAAAGTATACAACAAATAGTAAAGATGGTATATAGTTTATTCCATGGCTTATAATTCCAATCTGTACAGAGTTGAACACATTATGTGGCAAAATATTGTTCCTGAATGCTAAATATTAATGTCTGAACACAATTATTGAATATCTGTACATGTATATGGAGTGAACACATTTGGTTGATAAATACATTTGATTATGTTTAAATCTATTTCCTTTCAATAGTATGCGTAGCTGTAGGATGTTAAAGAAAACAGTTAAACAACTAAGCAAAAAAAAATTTCTTTGCACCAGATTTACATGAACACATTTTGGCAAAATAACAATATAAAATATTGAACACTTTTGGCAAAATATTTGTTTCAATAGCACTAAATGCCCTTTCTATCAAATAACACCAGAAAAAATACCAATAAAACTTGTGAATATGCAATATATTCTTATGTAGATTGTATAAAGTTTGTAAGATCAGTTCAGCTTATTATGTATCTTATTACAGTTATAATGAAAACGATTTTCATGTATAATAATTCAAAGTAGCACCTATGAATGAAACTTTACAAGTCAAATACAAAATTAGTATGATACAAGGTTAAATTTACAATTAATGAATTTATATCATGATTGATGTTTTTTAAAGAATAAACAGATCAGATCTAAAATAACTTTTTTAATTTATAGTGTCCCATCAAAACATACATAACTGTGAAAATATTGAATCTTCCAATTAATTTCATGTATTAAATGACATATCAAATATAATATATATATATTTTGACTTTTTTCAAAACATTTGTTCATATAACAAGAGTGCACACGCTGAAATGTCTCGCCTTCTTTACTAATCATTGATATTATGTTGATAGTCCTAAATATAAAGCTTTATTACAACTGTCACATAAACTTAACATTAACCAAGTAAACTAAACATTGACCAATGAACCATGAAAATGAGGTCAAGGTCAGATGAACCATGCTAGGCAGGCATGTACAGCTAACAATTCTTCCATACAACAAATATAGTTGACCTGTTGCTTATAGTTTAAGAAAAACAGACGAAAACACAAAAACTTAACACTGAGCAATGAACCTTGAAAATGATGTCAAGGTCAAATAAAACCTGCGTAACTGACATATAGATCATAAAATATTTCCATACACCAAATATAGTTGAACTATTGCATATAGTATTAGAAAAAAAGACCAAAACTCAAAAACTTAACTTTGACCACTGAACCATGAAAATGAGGTCAAGGTAAGATGACACCTGCCAGCTAGACATGTACACCTTACAATCATTCCATACACCAAATATAGCTGACCTATTGCATGCAGTATTAGAAAGAAAGACCAAAACTCAAAAACTTAACTTTGACCACTGAACCATGAAAATGAGGTCAAGGTCAGATGACACCTGCCAGCTAGACATGTACACCTTACAATCATTCCATACACCAAATATAGTAGACCTATTGCATACAGTATAAGAAAAACAGACCAAAACACAAAAACTTAACTATAACCACTGAACCATGAAAATGAGGTCAAGGTCAGATGACACCTGCCAGTTGGACATGTACACCTTACAGTCCTTCCATACACCGAATATACTAGACCTATTGCTTATAGTATCTGAGATATGGACTTGACCACGAAAACTTAACCTTGTTCACTGATCCATGAAATGAGGTCGAGGTCAAGTGAAAACTGTCTGACGGGCATGAGGACCTTGCAAGGTATGCACATACCAAATATAGTTATCCTATTACTTATAATAAGAGAGAATTTAACATTACAAAAAATCTGAACTTTTTTTTCAAGTAGTCACTGAACCATGAAAATGAGGTCAAGGACATTGGACATGTGACTGACGGAAACTTCGTAACATGAGGCATCCATATACAAAGTATGAAGCATCCAGGTCTTCCATCTTCTAAAATATAAAGCTTTTAAGAAGTTAGCTAACGCCGCCGCCGCCGCCGGATCACTATCCCTATGTTGAGCTTTCTGCGACAAAAGTCGCAGGCTCGACAAAAATGACATATACAGTAGATTTATCACTAACCTGAATATATATAGGATGATGAATATATACAAATGAAATTTTAAGGGTTTTTTTTAATAATAAAAAAAAATTCTATACAAAAAATATATAAACCCAATATACATCAATTTAATTATCATTTAAACATTTAAAAATCTCAGAATAAGAATGTGAAAGCCCTGCTTAATTATGGCCAAGACAGGGGCTCTTATCGCAAAAAATCTTATACTTGTAAGTCATGAACATTTCAGTATAACTTGCGATCAATTTTAATCATAAAATATTTTGTGAAAAGTCGCAGAATTGTGTGGTATTTAAGTTATGAGACTTCTGGACCTAGATTTATAATTTAAGTTCATTTTCTTAATTCTTTTTTGTTTGGTGGGGGTAAAAAATGATAGTCAGTCAGGTGACCTGAACATCACATTTTTTTCTCCATTAAGACAAATTATTAGAAATATTTCATCTCTTAACAAGAATAGCTAATTTTACATATATTTTTTTTTTTTTGCAAATATCAACAAACGTTTGCTCAATTAAAAAATTATTACTACAGTATAAATAATCAATGCCTAAAATGAAAAATCTTTCAAAAAAAGATCTCCTCAAAAAATATTCCAAGTTATAAACAGGACAGGTATATAATTTTGGTCACTCCTTCCCTTATATATTTTCACTGTATGTATAAACTCTAGTCTGATGATGCAGGTTTATTATTAACTTTTTTAATTAATGTTTCTATTCAAATCAATTCTAATAACCTTCTTTTGAAATCCATTTTTTTGATTAACAGGTTTAAATCAATTTTACCTTCTTATACAAAGCACTTTAAAAAAAAAATGAAATCCATTATTTTATGACCTCAAATTTCATTATACTCGTCTAATAAATCAATTTACTGGAACAATCTCACGAATCAATAACATAATTCGGATGGACAACCAAGAATGGATCATCTTCTCTAACTAATCCTTCACTTGTTTTTAATCCGGTCTGTTTCAACTCTATTAACACATGGTCCTGAAAAAAAAGGAAATTTTTATTCAGTATGTTGTCAATAATCAAAATTAATATTTTCATAATGAATCACAAGACAAGCAAGTAATTATGTTGCTGTCAAAACTTTTTGTTTAATTTGAAACCTTTACTAGATCTTTTCTATCGTAACCATTTTTCTTTTACTTTTTCATTAAGAGATTATTACAACTGAACTGACTGAGGGTTCACGGTCAAACAATTCCCATTAAAATGAGATATGCCAATATCAAAACAACTGAATACCAAATATCAGTGTGTTATCAAAGTGACTCCTTTAAACTGACCTTATCACAAACTTTAACTTGTAAACTATGCAAAAGTATTAGTCAATAGATCACGACTGAGGGGATGCAGCCAAATAATCTCCTTGGAAATGAGATATACCAATGCATTACAACTCCATACTGTAAATTCAGAAATCATTTCTATTTATAAGAATAAAGGGACTAGGTGAGTATCATGATAATAAGAACTCACGTTGCAGATTTACCTAAAATTGCAATAATTAATCTCGCATTTGTGTCTATTCTTCAAAAATCACGATAATAAATAAATGAATGCAATAATTTCTGAATTTGCAGTACCAAATATCACTGACTTGCCATTAGGACTGTTTCAGAAATAAACACATGGGGGATGGAAGGCACTTTTTTAAGACCCTGACCACCCATAAAATTAAAAATTTTCTTTTTTTTTATAAATTCTTACAAAATTATAAGGAAAATGCAACCACCCACATTTAACTCAGTAATTATAGTGCCTCCCACTCCTATACTGCTCTAATAATTTTTTTACAAATGGTTGATGTCCATACGGCAACCATGCCTTAGCTTCACCTCCACAACTTGGTTGAGGGGAGACAGAAGCAAAGTATCACTTTAAGTTAGCATTATAATACCAGAACTTCCAAAAAACAACTTACATGCTGGACAAGTCTGTCTATAACTTTTTCCACAATTGTTTTTCTTTCAATTAATTCGGCTTCTGAATCTATGTCAGCTTCCATTTCCCTCAGGTACCATTCAACTACCCCACTTCTTCTGATACCTTGCGAGTCTTCATCTGAAACAGGAACAACATTAATTCTCTCTGAAGGCCTATTTAATGATATCAACTGATGATGATGATGATGATTGGCAGTTTAAAGTCCAGCAGCAAATTAGATGCATATCCAGGAAGAGAACATGTTCAAGCGATAGGAATATTAACTCTGCCTTGTAGAAGACCAACATGCAGAGGAGAAGATTTTTAAATGTTAGCAAACTTGATGAACAAATTGTGTAAAATTTTCTTTAAAGGGCAATAACTCCTTAAGGGGTCAATTGACAATTTTGGTCATATAAACTTTTTTGTAGATCTTACTTTGCTGAACATTATTGCTGCTTACAGTTTATATATATCTATAATAATATTCAAAATAATAACAAAAAACTGCAAAATTTTGTTAAAACTACCAATTCGGTGGCAGCAACCCAACAATGGGTTGTTCGATTCGTCTGAAAATTTCAGGGCCGATAGATCTTGACCAATTAAACAATTTTACCCCATGTCAAATTTGCTCTAAAAGATTTAGTTTTTGAGATATAAGCCAAAAATTGCATTTGACCCTTATGTTCTATTTTTAGCCATGGCGGCCATGTTTGTCGATGGATACAAACTTCGGATACAATTTATAAACAAGATACCCTAAGGAACATTTAGTTAAAGTTTGAAGGTAACTGGCCCAGTAGTTTCAGAGGAGAAGATTTTTAAATGTTAGCAAACTTGATGAACAAATTGTGTAAAATTGTCTTTAAAGGCCAATAACTCCTTAAGGGGTCAATTGACATTTATGGTCATATCAACTTTTTTGTAGATCTTACTTTGTTGAACATTATTGCTGCTTACAGTTTATATATATCTATAATAATATTCAAAATAATAACAAATAAACTGTTATCACAGAGATATGTCTCGCCTTTTTGTAATTTTGATAATGCAAATGTTGAAATTAAAATAGCAATACTTTAACATGTAAGTTATGCAAATATTTAAAGTCGATGAACCATGACTGAAGGTACATGGCTAAACAATCTCCATGGAATGAGATGTGCCAATGCAAATACAACTGCATACAAAATACCATTGACTTATTATAAGTCGTTCCCTTTAAACAAACCTAAACACAAACATTAACTTGTAAACTATGTAAAGTTTCAAAGTCAATGAACCATGATCAGGGGTGGAGCTATATATAATCTCCATGGAAACAATACTTGCAAATGTCAATAAATTTGCATACCAAATATCATTAACTTAACATTAGCAGTTCATCTTAAACTGATCTAATCACAAACTAATACATGTAAACTAAGCAAAAGTTTCAAAGTAAATAGACCATGACTGAGGGGGCGGGGCCAAATATTCTCCATGGAAATGAGATGTTCTAATGCTTATACAACTGAACACCAATTAACATTGGCCTACCACTAATGGTTCCCCTTGAACTGACCTAATCACCAACTAATACATGTTAACTTAGCAAAATTTTCAAAGTCTATAGACCATGACTAAGGGGGCGGAGCCAAATAATCTCCATGGAAATGAGATATGCCAATGCTTATACAACTGCATACCAAATATCATTGACCAACCACTAGTGGTTTCCCATAAATTGACCTAATCACAAACTAATACATGTAAACTATGAAAAGTTTCAAAGTCAATAGACCTTGACTGAGGGGGCGGGCCAAATAATCTCCATGGTAATGAGATGTGCCAATGCTAATACTACTGCATACCAAATATCATTGACCTACCACTAGTGGTTCACCATGAACTTGACCTAATCACAAACTAATACATTGTTGTCGCCGACGCGGGAAACAGCATACCTATGTCTCGCTTTTTGACTCCGTCAAGGCGAGACAAAAACTGCAAAATTTTGTTAAAACTACCAATTCGGTGGCAGCAACCCAACAATTGGTTGTTCGATTCGTCTGAAAATTTCAGAGCTGATAGATCTTGACCAATTGACCAATTTTACCCCATGTCAGATTTGCTCTAAAAGATTTAGTTTTTGAGATATAAGCCAAAAACTGCATTTGACCCCTATGTTCTATTTTTAGCCATGGCGGCCATGTTTGTCGATGGATCAAAACTTCGGATACAATTTATAAACTAGATACCCTAAGGAACATTTAGTTTAAGTTTGAAGGTATTTGGCCCAGTTGTTTCAGAGGAGAAGATTTTTGAAATAGTTTACGGCGACAGATGACGGACGCCAAGTGATGGCATAAGCTCACATGGGGCCCCGGTGAGCTAAAAAGTGTGGAAAACTGATTTGCCAGACTGATGGACAGACAGACAGACAGAGTGCAAACTTAAAGTCCCCTTAGACTTCGTCGGTAGGGGACAAAAATCTTTTTGTAACTGTTATATACATTGTTATGCATAAGCTTGTTCCTGGCTGACTTATAATAAACTTTTTTCCGTTCAGTTAAATTCAAGCAGATTCCACTTTATTTTAATTTTGTGCAATGTGGTGAAAAGAAATGAGAAAATTGTAATGAAGCATTTAAATTTGAAATTTTATCAGTTTATATTTGATATTTACTAATAAACTGCTTCTCCAGCTAGATACACCCCCAGAGGTCCAACCCTGAACACTTGGGGCAAAAATGGACACAATATTCAAGCTTGATTCAGGTCTGAATTTGGATTGTAATTAAATATTTGACATATTATAGGTTTCTGAATAAATGTATTCAAAGAACTTGAAATTGGTTATATGAATTGAATTTATGTTCAATTAAAGATTTCTTACTGTTGTGCAATTCTTAGTAAATCTGTTGTCAGACTATAAACAAATAAAGTTCAATTAATTCTCAATGTCATATTAGAAATTTATGAAAATAAAAAGGGAGCTTACATCAATAGATATAAACAATTCACCAAGAGAATTGGTGACAGCATTTTTGAGTTATTGTCCGAAAACTGGAAAAATCGCCCCTTTTTTTAATGAATAAAACCCCATAACTCAGAAATGTAAAATGTAAAATTTATAAAATTCTAAAGGGAGCTTACATCAATACATACAAACAATTCACCAAAGTTTCATAAGAATTGCTGAAAGCATATTTGAGTTTTTGTAAAAATCTAAAGGGAGCTCATGGCAATAGATATAAACAATTCACCACAATTTCTTGCAAGTTGGTGGAAGCATTCTTGACTTATTGTCCGAAAAACTGGAAAATCCCCCTTTTTTTAATGAATAAAACCCCATAACTTGGAAACGTAAAATCTATATTTTATAAAAAACGAAAGGGAGCTCACGTCAATAGATATAAACAATTCACAAAAGTTTTAAACAAATTGGTTAAAGCATTTCTGAGTTAATGTCCGACATGTTGACGACGGACAGACGGACGAACAGAGGTATACCATAATACGTCCCGTAAACGGGCGTATAAAAATTGCATTTTAATATGGATAAGGTAAATTATTAGTTTTGTAAACGATAAGAGCACCCTCTACAATTTCAATAACAAACATGGCGGAACGTAAACAAACCAAACAATTTTTTTCTCTTATTTCTTGCTTATTGTACTCTATAATCCACACCCCCGTCTAGCAGGTTCAATTTTGGAGAATAAAACCGTGGACTATAATAATAAAAGACTGAATTCAGTAACTAATCTGGACAGGTATGGTTGATTACAGCTGACCTCTAGGGAATAATTAGTCAGTAACTGGTGAAATTTACACCATCTGATTTCCGATGCTTTAGATTTTTACTAGACCTTACTCAGACTCCACAAACTGACTCACTAATCACATATTTCTTCCAGCGACCTCAGGACTGTTCAATTAAAACATAAATGGAACCCAGGTAAGGCATTTCTAATGTGGGGGTAACCATCTCTGAGGCATTTTTAGAGTTTCAATGTTGAAAAACACCCACCCATAGATGATATTTCTATATGCATTCCTTTGGTTCCATATATTTTTTATGGAACAGCCTTCAGGAACTATACCCCTCTTTTTTAAGTTATTCTCTATGACTTCTGTCTTCATTGCTATTAGTGCGTCCTACAGCTTTATAAAAGGTAAGGATAAAAATTAAAAGTTTGTTCCCTGCTAAATATCAAAACAATGACATCTTTTTCCATTTATAATTTAAAATATTACAATAAATTATGGAAAAGTTAAGATAGGTCTGTGTGATGGTTGTTGATATTAAAGCCTTTGAAAAATGTGGGAAGATTTGTGTATGGATTTTTCATATGAAATGTTTGGATTAAAATGAATTTAAAACTGGGAAAGTGACATAAGAATTTTAAGAAAAAACAAGAATTTCAAAATATTACTAAAAGTGTATTTCAGATGCAAGATAAAAAAAAAAGCATGCATAGAGTCAAAGGGGATTACAAAATATTCTAGAAAAGTTTTAATTTGAAAAGAGAACATTCTTAAGGCAAAATCTAAAAGTCCTAGAAGGTAACTTAAATATAGGCATTTTAAAACATGTCCAATCAACAGTTTACAGATCAAAGGGATATAACTCTAGCTGACTCTACTAAAATAATGTTTTTTTCTTAAGGACAGGACATTATTTTCTCTGATAAACAAGGAAAAGGGAGTCACAAAAAATGCAGGGTAATGAAAACTTGACATGTAAGAAGTTCTAACAAATTTGTCATAATAATGGCAGCTGTACATATTATTCTCAATCTTTCTTACAATTAGTCTCTAGATATTTATATTTAATCTATGCAAATACCTTTGCCAGGTTTTCTAACAAAATAACAACTAAATTATCTTTAGGAATTCGAAATTATACCATTATTAAATAAGTACAATAACAGTACAATAAATATGTTTTGAAGAGTTTTCTGTAAATTTTGTGTGTCAAGTATTTACCTATAGTTATCCGTAAAGCTGAGTTCAAATTCAAATCATAATCATGTTTACAATGGGAAATCCCCTTTTTATACGCCAAATCACATAATAACGTTGCATGCAAGAAAATAGATGGTTTATCATGTAAATCACTGTCAATACATACATAAATATTGGATTATAAAGAAAGCAAGCACGATTTCATACGTCTTGACAACGATTTAGCAATATAAAGCATGTAAACAGAAGTTAACTAAAGAAATGTAGGATTATTAACAAGCTAGAAAACAAAGATGTTATACGAATGCCACACGTTGGCGGAATTTCGTAATGCAAAATCGGCAACAGTCAAATTTGCCGGGAACGATGTTACATTCACACAAAGGTATTACCGCGTAATTTAACATTTACAACAGCAGCCATACATGTAGTATTTCTTTTATCAAAATTGGGATGTATACTTCCTCACATAACATTCTTACTAGCATGACTAGTCAGTGATCAGTTTCACAAAAAATCTTACGACTAAAGTTGATCATAAGTATACCGAATTGTTCATGACTTATGATCAAGTTTTATTGCAAGATTTTTTGTGAAACTGGAGTCGTTTCACAAAAAAACATAGGACTAAGATTAATCGTAAGTATACTGAATTGTTCATGACTTACAATCAATCTTAGTCGTAAGTATTTTTGTGAAACAGACTCCAGCTCACTGGTTCCTACTTCTTTGTATAAAAATAGTCAAGTTTAGGGTAAATCTTTTCACTTTTAAGCTTACCAACAGTATATTCACATTTTCTGAAAAATTCTCAGATATCACTACTATTCACTGGAGAAAGGGAGAGAACTCTGACAATTCTCAATCACACTCTCCCTCATATTTGCGCAGTGATTGGTCATCATTGATAAAGTTATAGTTATTTCAGAGAATGGGAAGTGAGATGAAAATATTTTTGGACGAACAAGACAAAGGGACAGAAAAAAGTGATTGCAATAAAACCCCACTCCTAGAGAAGGGTAGAATATGCATAAGTAGTACAGTGACTTATAATTGCGTTTAAAATTCTTCATGTGAACTCTGGTGCATAGTTCTCATTTGCATTCATACATTTTCTTATTTTTATAGCAGGTGCCTACAAAGTAATGTAGAAAAATGCCCCTGAAATGGTTTACAGCTCATTTTTATCTTCAAGCTACCATGCGATATTTCAAAAATTACTATCAAATTAGGAATCAACTAATGCTATATTCAAGATCAACACAAACTTAATGAGTACAAAGATTAAAATTCACTTTTTATAAAATGCTGTTATTTGCTTATTTTCCAGTAGCAAATATTTCATGCATATGCAGAACTTTTTTTCCAAAGGTGTTACCACACATTTTGAATCATCTCCTTAAAAAAAGAGAAATGTGAATAATTATTCTAAAATTTTAGCAACAAAAGGTTCAAGTGTCACTGGAAATCATATCAACCATATCTTTTACTCACTCATTGTCTCTTCTTCCTGTCTACGCAGATAAAGCACCAGTAAATTGGCTAGATGTTTGTAGTCCTCGTAAGACAGTTTTAGTCCTTTCTTTGGCTGATTATCTGGTTGAGCTGCTGGTGTCTGCTCTGCTGGAGTCGGTGTGGCTTCTGTAAAAATATCATAGAATCTACATGAATAATGGAGATGTGAATGACTATAAAGCTTATAGGTACAAGATTAACCAAGGCTTTAAAAATATTCTGCGACAAATATTGTTTAAATTTTATTAAAACTAAAACTGTAATTTTATACACAATAAGTCACTTCAACATACTGTTTTCCCAGGGTCTTCCTAATATCATTTAAAAAATTAATTTTTATTCTTTTAGTTTTACCTAAAAAACTTCATATTTACAATTAAATCTTCCAATTTCACCAAAACATTTTTACCAAGTAATTTCATTTTGAAACCTGTAATTATATTAAACAGTATGTTGCCTGTTAACACTTTAATGGGTAATTTTAGTTTTTTGTGTGAATTATGTTCCTGTAGGTCCAATGAATAAGGCCAAACAACAAGTACTGTGAATTCATTTTTTCTGTAAAAAAAGTATTTTCGAGGTTTTAATAAATTTTGCATGAAAACCTGTAGAAAATTTACACTTTGTTGAACACTAAATTTCATGGTTAGACTCAACGAAATCCACAAAAATCAGTATCCCACAAATAATGGTTAATTCACAGTTAACTAAATATACCTTACCTTCCATTTCTACATCCTCTTCAGTTTCCTCTTCCTCCTCTTCCAAATGTATGTCTGGTTGTTCCACACGAATGATGGACTTGTTCAGAAGACGGAAAGCTTCTTTAACATGCTTTGGTTGAACCTGAGTAAAAATGTATGAATTCATTATAAATTTTTTGTTGAAAGAGCCTTCTGGAAATAAGCAGGGCCCAGTGGCCATAGGCAATTAAAATTAGGCTTTGGCTACCAAGAATTTTTTATCAGAAGCCAAACTAAAACAGTTTTTATTCTGTTAGCAGTAGCCTATTGGCCATAAGCCATGACAATTTTGCTTTGGCTACTTAGATACTTTTATTTGCAGTTATAAAATCTGATGTGTTTGTGAAAAGCTCAAAATGAGTGGGTCAGGAAACCAAAAACACTTGTCTATTCTTAATGTGTACTTTCCAAATTTAACTTCTTATGTATAAAGTTGGACACAAAGCCAGTGCAATTTCTCAGGAGCCCAACAGGCAACTGCAGTAAATCTTTTTAGTTTCATCCTTTAATTTTGCCACCATTTTCATATTCTTAGTAAAAATGTCTCAGATATCACTACTATTCACTGGAGAAAGGGAGAGAACTCTGACAATTCTCAATCACACTCTCCATCATATTTGCGCAGTGATTGGTCATCATTGACAATTTTATAAGACATTCAGATTGATTGATTGGTGTTTAACACCACTTTCAGCACTACTGGCTATTTTGTGGTAGTCAGTTTTTATTAGTGGAGGAAGCTGGAGTGCCTGGAGAGAACCACCAAACGTTCGCATGTAAAACAGACCATCCTAGTCAATTAAGATTGGGAGTCGAACACACATGCCACTAGCAGGGTTTGAACTCACAACTTCAGTGTTGACAGGATAGTGATACAGTACTTGAACTACTTAAACCACTCTGCCCCCATGAAATTCAGGGAATACTTAGTGCACCAATAGGTAGAAATATAATTTATTTTTTTACCAACCCAAACCCTCTCTAAGTCCATTATAAAACATTGTAGAATAGGAATGGGACATCTTGTCTTTTAGTAGCCATAAGTTTTACCACTACTGTATGAAGAAATATAAGAAAACAAGAATGTGTCCATAGTTCACAGATACCCCACTCGCACTATCATTTTCTACGTTCAGTGGACCGTGAAATTGGGGTCAAAACTCTAATTTGGCATTAAAATTAGAAAGATCATATCAAAGGGGACAAGTGTACTAAGTTTCAAGTTGATTGGACTTCAACTTCATCAAAAACTTCCTTGACCAGAAACTTTAACCTGCCCACTCGCACTATAATTTTCTATGTTCAGTGGACCGTGAAATTGGGGTTAAAACTCATTAAAATTAGAAAGATCATATCATAGGGAACATGTGTACTAAGTTTCAGTTTGATTAGACTTCAACTTCATCAAAAACTATCTTGACCAAAAATTTTAACCTGAAGCAGGACAGACGGACGCACAGACCGAAAAACAATTCCCCTCCTTAATCCCATCACTCTAATATTTGTTCAAAATAAGTAGCTAATGACAAACAAGTGTTAAGCATACTCGTAATTTTTAAGTATTGGAAACAGGTGTTGACAGATAGGAAAAGTGCTGGCACATCACAACTTATCAAGTTAAGCCTCTGAATAAATATGAATTTATTCTGTTGTTGAATCCCTAATATAATTGTGAGGAAAATGTTTGATGGACAAACAGAATAAAGAAAAAGACAGACAATTGTCATTGCAGTATAGTCCCACTCAGAGAGAAAGACAAGTGCAATTTCTCAAAAGAATAAAATGCTTCGCTGGGGCGCAGCTTGATACGACCGCAGAGGTCGAACCCTGAACAGTTGGGGCAAGTATGGACACAAAATTCAAGCTTGATACAGCTATGACTTTGGATTGTCATTAAATATTTGACACAGCATAGGTTTCTGACACAGGAAGAATGTGGTGTAAGAACTGGAAAAAATTTAATTTACCTATTATGGTGGAATATCCATAAACTAAATTGTTTGTTAATTTCAATATATCAAAGAATATGTAGAATTCAATGTTTGATGTAATGTAATAAAGTTGAAATTTGGACCGTTTTTGTTCAATGTGGACCAATTTGGTAACATGTATAAATAATCAAAAATCTAAATACATGGGAGCCCATTTAAATACATCATAAAGGTATTAAAATAGAAAGTGACATCATAGTCATGGCTAAAAATAAACAAAAATCCTTAATCAGCAACATTTAAAGTAATATCTAAAAATAAAATTCCTTTGTAACCATAAAAGCCCATTTAAATACATCATAAAGATATTAAAATAGAAAATGACATCATAGTCATGGCTAAACATAGCAAAAAACCGTTAATCAGCATCATTTAACAGTAATATCTAAAAATTCGTAAGGGTTCCGCGGAACCCAGTGTCTCGCCTATTATTTCTGTTAATCGCAGGCTCAACAAAAATGAGGAAGTAAATCAATAAAAATATTCCTCTTGATACTATCTTTTGATTGTAAGAAGCTTCTGTCCAAGTTTGGTAAAAATCCAGGATAGTTTATGAATCTAATAAATGTTTAAAAACTTTAACTGCAGACTGAATGTAATGTTAACTGGAAGAAAACAAAATTTCCTTCTAGATACTAGCATTTGATCATAAACAAGCTTCTGTCCAAGTTTGGTACAAATCCAAAATAGTATAAGAAAGTTATTAAAATTTTAAAAACTTTAACCACAGAGTGAATGTGTTGTTTCCTGGCAGAAAATCTAAGTCCATTTAAAAGTAAAAAATGGAAAAAATGGATTTATTTTTTTTACAAAATTTACTTCTAGATACTAGCTTTTGATCATAAACAAGCTTCTGTCCAAGTTTGGTACAAATCCAAAATAGTATAAGAACGTTATTAAAATTTTAAAAACTTTAACCACAGAGTGAATGTGTTGTTTCCTGGCAGAAAATCTAAGTCCATTTAAAAGTAAAATAAGGAAAAAATGGATTTTTTTTTTTACAAAATTTACTTCTGAATACTATCTTATGATCATAAACAAGCTTCTGTCCAAGTTTGGTACAAACCCAGGATAGTTTAAGAAAGTTATTAAAATTTTAAAAACTTTAACCACAGAGTGAATGTAATATTTCCCGGCAGAAAAACTAAGTCCATTTATAAGTAAAATACGGAAAAAATGGAATTTTATTTTTACAAAATTTACTTCTGGATACTATCTTATGATCATAAACAAGCTTCTGTCCAAGTTTGGTAGAAATCAAGGATAGTTTAAGAAAGTTATTAAAATTTCAAAAACTTTAACCACAGAGTGAATATTTGTGGACGCCGCCGACGACGACGACGCCGACGGAATGTAGGATCGCTATGTCTCGCTTTTTCGACTAAAGTCGAAGGCTCGACAAAAATGGAAATTACATCATAAAGGTATTAAAATAGAAAATGACATCATAGTCATGGCTAAAAATAAACAAAATCCTTAATCAGCATCAGCAACATTTTATAGTAATATCTAAAAATAAAATTCCTTTGTAACCATAAAAGCCCATTTAAATACATCATAACAGATATCAAAATAGAAAATGACATCATAGTCATGGCTAAACATAGCAAAAACCTTAATCAGCATCATTTAACAGTAATATCTAAAAATAAAAATTTCTTTGCAACCATAAAAGTAAAATAGAAAATGACATCATAATCATAGCTAAAAATAAACAAAAATTTTTTTTATTGGCAAATTTTAAATGGAGTTTATTATACTAAAACAATAAATTTGCAACCATAAACATGATAAAACCCCATTTAAACACATCATAAAAGTATTAAATAATTCAACTACATCATAAGGCTATAAAAATAGAAAATGACTTCATAGTCAAGGCTAAAGGTAAACAAAAAACCTTCATCAGCAAAATTTTATATTGGCAAATTTCCAATGAAGTTTATTACACTAAAATTGTTTGCAAATTTCCAATGCATTTATTAACAATAAAGTTATTGGCAAATTTCCAATTTACATAATTGAAAAGCAGTGTAGATGAGATATTTAAATGAGTTTGAATTACCAACCTTACACTGCTTTTAAATAATGTTCTTTACTCAATTATTTGTCTATTAAAATGGAAACCCTTGTTTTTTAACCTTTTTTCCCCTTATTCCTTAAACATTAGAGCCATAACCACCCCCCCCCCCCCCCAAAGCCAATTATTACTTTCCAATGTAACCTAAATTTCCAATATACATAATTTTAAATTTCAGTTCCTCATGATATATAACCGTATCATTATTATTTTCTTTCATATATAAATCTGAAACAACCATCTTTAAATGGAAAATTTTAAAGAAAAAAAAAGGAAAAAAAAAAATCCTACCCCCCACACATTTTTTCAACCCCCTTTTGATTCATCATCCCCCACCTCAATCACAACCTTCAATTTGTGGTATGGTACATTGCAATACAATTTCACAGAGATCCATACACTTGAACACAAGTTTTTGTTGCAAACTAAAAAAATCCTTATTTTCGACCAATATTTGGCCCCTTATTCATAAATGTTTGAGCAATTAACCCCAAAACTCAATTCCTACTTTCTCTTCGTGATAAAAAATAACTAACTTAAAATGTAAATTTTAAACAAAAAAAAAAGGAAAAAAAAAAATTACCCCTTTTTTGACCCCCGCCCCCCTTATGATTCATCAACCCCACCCCCCTTTCCCCCCAAACCAAGCTCAATAACAGCCTTGCCTTTGTGGTATGGTACCTTGTAATACAATTTTAGAGAGATCCATACACTTGAACACAAGTTATTGTCTAGAAACTAAAAAATGCTTATTTTAAACCCCTTTTTAGGCCCCTTATTACTAAACGTTTTGGGCAATTACCACAACACTCAATTCCAGCTTTCCCTTTGTGAAATGGAACCTTGTAGTAAAATTTCAGAAAGATCCATACACTTACACACAAGTTATTGTCATGAAACTAGAAAAATGCGTTTTTTGCCCCTTTTTGGCCCCTAATTCCTAAAATTTGGAGGCAATTACCCCTAAAATCAATCCCAGCATTCCCTTTGTGATATGGAATCTTGTGGTACAATGTCAAAGAGATCCATATGCTAACACACAAGTTATGTCTGGAAGTTACAAAAATGCTTATTTCCGGCCCCTTTTTGGCCCCTAATTCCTTAACTGTTGGTACCATAACCCCTAAAATCAATCCCCACCTTCCTATTGTGGTATTGAACCTTATGGTAAAATTTCATAGAGATCCATTCACTTAAACTAAAGTTAGAGTGCGAAAACCATTGTGTATTCGGACGACGACGCCGGACGACGACGACGCCAACGTCATACCAATATACGACCTCAAAATTTTTTTGGGGTCGTATAAAAACAGGCAACTACAGTAAATCTTTTTAGTTCCATCCTTACTGCCATTATTTTCACATTCACAGTAAAATTGTCTCAGATATCACTACTATTCAATGGAGAAAGGGAGAGAACTCTTACAGTTCTCAATCACACTATCCCTCATATTTGCGCAGTGATTGGTCATCATTGATAAAGTTTATAGTTATTTCAGAGAATGTAAAGCGTGATGAAAATATTTGTTGGACATATGGATCTAAGGACAGTGATTGCAATAAAACACCACTCATATTTAAGGATAGAATATGTAACTTCATATTAGTTTCATCATACAGATAGCTTTTCTATTGTATTCTTCATAATGATAACATAATTTCTCTAATTTTTGTGCTATTTTCACATTTCTTGATCGGTGTGAGAAAAATATTTCTCCTCACTAGTGAAATATCTGTTTTTCGGCAAATGATTGGTCTAAATTAAATTATGACGTCAAATTTTCTTGGTTTCTTCTGAATTTTCCTATTGTGACATCAAAAAAGGCGACTATGCCTGATGACGTCATATATAAAGAACACAACTTTCTGAAAATCTTAGAAAAGGAAGGATAAAATTCATTAGAGAAACAGATTCCACCACTATAACTTGTTGATTACAATATTTCTCCTCTCTCAACAGTTAAATTTTAATTATTTAAAAAGCTTGGCTCACGCTTTAAATATTAAAATTTAACTGTCTCAAGTGAAGAAATATCGTAACACACTTGTTGCAGTGGTGAAATCTATATAACACCAGTTTCCTCTCATTTTAAGAATTCTGATTAAACACTTATAACGGACAGGTTGACAGATGAAAAGGACAAAATGCCTAAAAAAAAATTCAATGTGGGAGATATAATTTTTAAATTGCTGGTTCGACCTGGCTGGAATTGAACCCACAAAATGGCATTCTTGAATTAAAAAAAACATATAACAAGAATAATATTGTATCAAAATGGTTACCTCATCCTGACAATGCAGTCGTGCCATGCCCTCTGATAAACGGATCATACTTTCTAATTGTCTCACGGTTATCCTCCAAGCTGACTTTGCTGCTCCTGTGCCATCACGCTGCCGTAAACGTTTATATTCTTCTATCATATATTCTTGAGCATCTTTACTTATCTAGCAAAAGAATGAAAATAGGTAAGCATAATATGATTTTCTCAAAATATTAACCCTCCCTCTGGATATGCACATCTACATATAAAGCACAACAAATGTACATTTTATTTTTCTGAGTAAACAAATTTTTTCAAATTTTTTTTACCACATTTTCACAAATAAAATAATATGCAACTTCATATCGTCAAACAACAACTGTACAAAACTTCATCTGCATTCTACCAACACTTTTTTTGTGAACTGTCATACATACAAAGTGAAAACTATAGGACTCTCTATTAAAAGACCTACACAATCTCTTCTCTAGAAAAGTGATAATCTTTCAATATCAAACTGACATATGATCTGCATAAACACACTACAATCACATGTTTAAAGTGAATAAAGCAAACCTTTGGTTTAAACTGTCTGGCAAACATGATGTATCTTGTAATATCTTCCACAGAATAAACTCTTTCAACAGATTCATCGACTCGACTGTGTAGATCTACAATTCTTCTGGCAATAGCATAATCTACAACCTGCAACGAAATATTTTTTTTACCTCAGTAATCATTAAAGTCATTGTAAGGGTTATTTACTTAAAGACACCAAAAAGTTTTGTTTTTTTTTAAGGAACCTGCTTCATTAGATATGACATTAATCCTCTTCATGAAAAAAAAAAAAGGAATATTGAAAAAAGGGACATAACTCACAAGAAAATTTCCAAGGGGCACTAATTTTGAACTTCATGTAATAAGATTATCTTCCATGTATTTTACATTTTAGTGAATACATTGTGACTCCTATGAAAACTAGAGGCTCTCAAGAGCCTGTGTAGCTCACCTGTGTTTACTGATGCTTTGGAAATCATGTAAAATAAGGTTAAAATGATAATTAATAGTATTAGATATTAGATATTATAATGGTATCTAAGATAATAACAAAAAACTGCAAAATTTCTGTAAAATTACTAACTCAGGGGCAGCAACCCAACAACTGGTTGTAAGAATCGTCTGAAAATTTCAGGGCAGATAAATCTAATTCTGATGAACATTTTTGCCACCTGTCAGATTTGCTCTAAATGCTTTAGTTTCAGAGATATAAACCAAAAACTGCATTTTACCCCTATGTTCTATTTTTAACCAAGTCGACCATGATGGTTGGAAGGCGGGGTCATCGGACAAATTTTTTAAACTAAGATACCCTAATAATGATTATGGCCAAGTATGGTTAACTTTGTCTCAGTAGTTTCAGAGAAGATGATTTTTGTAAAAGATTACAAAAATTTACGAAAAATTGACTATAAAGGGCAATAACTCCTAAAGGGGTCTACTGACAATTTTGGTCATGCGACTTATTTGTAGATCTTACTTTGCTGAACATTATTGCTGTTTACAGTTTATCTCTATCTATAATATTATTCAAGATAATAACCAAAAAACTGCAAAATTTCCTTAAAATTACCAATTCAGGGGCAGTAACCTAACAACAGGTTGTCAGATTTGATTGAAAAATTCAGGGCAGATAGATCTTGACCTGATAATCAGTTTTACCCTTTGTCAGATTTACTCTAAATGCTTTGGTTTCAGAGATATAAGCCAAAATCTACATTTTACCCCTATGTTCTATTTTTAGCCATGGTGGCCATCTTGGTTGGTTGGCGGGGTCATCGGACACTTTTTTTTAAACTAGATACCCTAATGATGATTGTGGCCAAGATTGGTTAAATTTGGACCAGTGGTTTCAGAGGAGAAGATTTTTGTAAAAAGCTAACGACGACAACGGATGCCAAGTGATGAGAAAAGCTCACTTGGCCCTTCGAGCCAGGTGAGCTAAAAATTCATTCTTCAGAGAGTATAAGAAATTATAGATATAAAGATTCCTCACCTCATTACATTCATCTACAAGAATAAAGAATAGATCAAATCGAGACATGATTGGTGCTGTTAAGGAAATGTTCTGCTTCAGTGACTTTGACCTGTCATATCTACTACCAATAGGATTAGCTGCTGCCAACACAGAGGTTCTTGCATTCAGTGTAGCCTGGAATACACAAATTAATCTATTACATTATTTTCACTTAGGCATATTTGAGAGATTTTATCCAGTATGACTGGTGTTGTTTGTATGTTAGAAATAATATACTGTAATTCAGTGGTTGTCGTTGGTTGTTATCTGTTATATTTGTTTTTCATATATTGCATTGTTAGAAAGCAGGCCATTGTTTTTTTCATCTTTTGAATGTTTTTTTCATCTTTTGAAAGCCGTACTATGACTTGTAGTTGTTTAAATCCCATTATTAGGACTCTGTTCGATAGTTGCCTCATAATAAATTAAGTATGTTTAAATGATAATTACAAATACATCACAAAAGTTATTCGACTTAATTTTGGCTGAAGAAAGTAAATATCAAACATGTCAAAACATTCATGATGTTCATGTTTCCTAAGGAAATGAGTTAGTAACAAATTTAAAATCAGGCCTCCCATCCCTCCACCACAATCAATTGTGGAACATCCCTTACATAAAATGCAGATAAAAGGATCCAGTTAAAAAAATAACATGATGATTCATTAAAAAATGTTAAAGGTGATCACTTATTCTGTGTAAATCTATACCAACTAATACTTTGGTGGACCTCCAAGTTATTTGATAAACAAGATGCCTTTTTATTTGTGGTGATCGTTAGGGCTAGTTTGTATGTCATACCTTGACTCCAGCTTTTGTTATTGAGATGGTCTGTTGTTCCATGGCTTCATGTATAGCCACCTGATCTTTAGGGTCCATCTTATCAAATTCATCAATACAACAGACACCATTATCTGCCAACATAAGGGCACCAGCTTCAATCACAAACTCATAAGATTCCTCATCTTTAACAACAGCTGCAGTCAAACCAGCAGCACTGCTAGCCTTTCCACTGGTGTATACAGCCCTTGGACTAAACTCCTCCACCTGCTTTAGGAACTGGCTCTTAGCAGTACTTGGATCCCCCACAATACAAATGTTTACATCACCACGGAGATTTGTTCCTTCCATTGTAACCTTAGGAACACCTCCAAACAACATCAGTAAAATTCCTCTTTTGATTTCATCACTTCCTGCAAATAAGATTGATGGATTATTGGTTGCTTAAGGTTCAGTGGCAAACATTTCATGCATGTTCAGGACGAGAACAAGTAAACAATAAATACAATAGGTAGGTCCTGTAATATTATTCTGAAAATAAGAAGCTAACACTCAAGTGTTCACATTTAGATTTAACATTAATTTTTTAAATCTGTCAATTTGTCTTGAATGATTTTTGAATGTCAGACGTGAAAATCTAGTTACTGTAAATTCAGAAATTTTTGAGTGCATTTATTATTTTGTGGTTTATTATTAATGGACACAAATGGAAGATAAATAATGGCGGTTTGAAAATCCTACATACAAATAACTTTCTCAATCTTTAAAATGGGATTTTTTATTTTTGCGAAATATATCCTATTGCATAATAAATATCAACATTGCTAAAATTTCTGAATTAACAGTATTTCAAATTTTTAACTTTTATATTCAATGTGACATTCTGCTTTTTCTCTATGTATATCCCAGTAATAATCTAGTTAGATTATCCACCAATCAAAAAAGGTTTAATTTGCATTTGTTTCTATTCAAAGCATCTATTGTGGAATCATTATTATTCGTTGGATACCATTTTTCATGGGTTTCGTGGGTACAGGTGAATTCGAATGTTCAACAAACTACAAATTTTCTATAGGCTTTGTGTGCAGAGATTGGCAAAACCACGAATTCAAACATCCACAAAAATGTAAGTTTTTCTCAATCCACGAAAATAAATGAATCCACAGTATTCAAATTATTACGTTCACTTCATATCAAGTTCAACTCTGTGTACCGATAAGAAAAACATGTCTAACTATATACCATTGTTACATACGTTTTAGGAATACTTCCAAATATGTTTAAAATTGCTTTAAATATGATGGTTAAAAGTCCAATTACTCTGGAAGAACAAAATCAAAAGGGATCTTTCTCCCTTCAATCCTTGTGTTAAAATGAGAATTGGTATAATTGAATTTGAATCATTTGTATGTAGTGTTGACAGACAGATGGACTATGGTATACCATAATACATAGGGTCTACAATGGCCATTTAAAAGCAGACAAGGCGGTTGCAATAAATCAAACCACAAAGAAGTGGGATATAAATTTGTTTATTTAAGACTTGTAAGATGTGGCGTGAGCTACTGTTAACTCATACTGTGCTCTTGCTATAGAGTGAAAGTAAAAACATATATTCACCAAACAATGTAAACCCAGACAACAGAATGTAGAAAGCTTGATGTTTAAGTTAACAATATGAAACCTGGTACCAAACAAAAAGTTGAAAGCATTATTGTGCTTATCATATTCTCACTCAAAATTATCTTTATCACAAAGCAGGAAGAGGGTGTCAGACAGATTCGTAAAGCACTCACACCTTACAACACACTCCTTTCAAGATGCTGACCAACCATGAAGTCACTCTTTTTCGTAGTTTCAGAGATAAGCATGAGGAAAATAATTAGTTTACAAACAGACAGATAAACTAAATGGACAAATAAGAGGATGGCAATATAGCCTCAACTAAGAGTAGTGGTATAATAAATCTTTTATAACTTATAAACTAAATAATCTTTTAAATTCCCAAGATCCTTGATACATACCATGTATAGTAGGAAACAAACTCGTACATAGGTTAGTATATAAACTTTTGTCTAAACTCATTTCATAAACTTTCTGCCATTCTTCATCTGTCATTTGTTTCTTAATAGTTTCTGCAGTCATTTCTTCATCTCTCATGTCTCGTCCGCCAAACTAAAAAAAGAAAATCTATCAACATGAATAAAAATAAAAACATCCAGTTCAGAAGATTTTAAACACACTGCAAGACATTCCTTCTTGCATTGCTTTAAATTTGTATTTACTCAATAATTTAAGTAATTCCAAGCATTATTCATATATAGGCTAAAATTTCAAAACTCTTAACAATTGTAATCTCATATCTGTCAATTGCAGTTTTTATCAAAGTCTCATTTAAGGTCAAGATGAAGATACTGAGCACCTACAAATAACTGTTATCACAGAGATATGTCTCGCCTTTTTGCAATTTTGATAATGCAAATGTTGAAATTAAAATAGCAATACTTTAACATGCAAGTTATGCAAATATTCAAAGTAAATGAAACATGACTGAAGGTACATAGCTAAACAATCTCCATGGAAATGAAATGTGCCAATGCTAATACAACTGCATACCAAATACCATTGACTATTATGTGTTTTAGTTTGCCAACATATGATCTAAGATAGGTTTGTGTGCACGTAAAACCAACCATTTGGACCGATCTTATTTCACCCCTGTATTATATTCCTTGAACACTATTTGAGTTCATTCCTATATGTACATACCCTTGGGTTACTGGATGACACATTACATGCTAAGAAAGCCATTTTGTATGTCAAATCTCGGACTCCTAATGCTTTTAATCCTCTAACTCCTTCTGTGTCATATCCTGATGCACCCTTCACTCGAGATGAGGTCTCGGCTCTGGCACCTGTCAATAGGTACAACTCAAATATATTAAAGAGGAAATGTCTGAATCAAGAATTTGTGGGTGTATTAAAGACATCACCACAAGGAGAGTATTTAAGAGTTAATAATATTGGTTTTACGATTTCCCTGAAAACTAAAAAACAAGAATTCTCTCCTCTGGTGTAATACTACAATAAGTGTTGTCATAATGATTGTTCTTGATGTTTCATCAACACAAATGAGACAGCATAGAAAAGAAATAGTTCCTTGCATTTCTTTAATTTATTTTCATTAAAAAGTTCATTGTCAATGTGCGTACTAAAATGTAAAATGTAATATTCTTAAGCAAGATTTCAAAATCAAAAAGTATTCATCTTATTACACAACACTGATAATTAACTAATACACCACAAGCATTTTTGAATTAATGTGTTGTTCGGTCACTAATTTAAAATTTTGATATATATATAAATTCTTTGCTTAGTCATGTTAGTTACTTCTTTTACATTATACAAAATGTGTTTAATTCTAAAATTAACTTGGATGTTAACCTGTTTGAATTCACAGAAATTGTTCATCACCTATCTGAATATTGCTGAAACTTGTACAAGCTATGCCCCATATGAATAGTTAGAAACCAGGTTGTATGAGACATACAAGGAATTGGGATGAAATATTTACTTCCTGTTTTCTCAATACGGGAATGATAGCTAGGCATATCTATACTATTAAATGAGAAGACCTCATTTTGTGTGTCGCTTCTCTTCCTTCCACATTAAATCAACCATCATGCTTTTATGTCCTATAGGTACCATGCATAGTCGCATTTGTCATCCTCGCATATTAATATTTAGTTTGGTTTTTTTTAAGGAGAAAAATCAAAATAAAGACATCCGGATATTGTTTCCGTCCTCGGACTGACTTTTAAGTCATAGATAAGACTTCCGTTTAGGACTTAAACTTACGCATTATTTTCATAGGTACAAGGGGACAGGACAATTTTTCGCGTTTTTCTGTATACTATGAACAAACATACATGTATACTATATAAATACAGTGTATTTTCTATTTGCTATCAATTCCAAGTCTAATTCCATGGATTGATAATAAATACCAAATAAACTGTATTTATATAGTATATGTTATTATATATGTTCATAGTGTACAGAAAAAAAAAGCGAATATAATTGAAATTAACAGAAAACAACAAAAAAATAACAAAAAAATAACGGACTTTGGAAAAAGGGGGAGGGCTAAAAAATTTGTACTGTCCCCAAGTACCTTTGACTTTTGATAACTTTCCTGAAATACTCCAGTCATAAAATCTTTTACAAAAATTCATCCTACAAGTTTACATACCACCAACAATGCTCTAAATGCCTGCGATTTCGCGGGTGTGTTCTAGTCGGGTGTGTTCTAGTCGATGTTAAAATGAACAACAATGCAAAGTCTCATTATTACCTATCAATGAAGACACCAACTATATTGTCTGACATTAGTAGACAGAGGGGCCTTAATTAAATATTTTGCATACAAAACATAAGTCTTTAAACATGTGCAAGGTGGAAACTAATATTTTTTTTCTCAAAATGCTTGCCCTTCACATATATTTAGAGGACATTAACATTACAGATGTGTGATATCAAGCTATTGGTTTTACCTGGGGCAGCCATTGTAGCTACATCTGGTATCACAATAAGAGTTCCTGTAAAATCTGACTTGTCTCCTGCCTGTGCTGTTTCCACTGCCTCAGCTCGTAGGACAATTTCAACACTGAAAGCAAATTATTAGATAAAACTTTGAATTAGATATACAGTGTATCAATATATAAATAAATGCAATTGACTATTACTACTACACAAGTTCTTCACATACCACATTGGTTGGACATGGTTCACAAATTACTAAGGGCTGTTCCATAAAAACATACATGGGACCCAGGGAAGGCACTTCCAAATCTCAGCGATGGGTAGGTGTCATATATGTTTTCGCATAGTGGAAATGTAAGTGAAATTTTAATTTGCGTCTATAGGTGGTTACCCCATTTCTAAAGTGCCTTCCCTGGGTACAATGCAGGGCTTCCAAACTTTTTTTGAGCCAGCCGGACATTTCATATCTTATACCGATTTTAAATCCCTTTAGACTTAGTAAATTAGGCAACTATGATAATCAGTTGGCCATCATATATGATATAACCAATGATTGACATTCAAACGATATTAAACTTTACTTTGATATAAATTCAATGTTCTGACGTAAAGTGTTAAATTGAAAGTGCAGCATTCGAAGTGTGCAACATCAGCGTACTAATTCTGCCTAATTCCGCTTTAGACTCTTTATTTGTGCAAAATAACGCTGTCAAAAGCTTTACTTTCGTTTTTAAAATCACATTTTCTTATGCCGGATGTTGACCTGACAATGGAGAATCACGGATCAGAGACGGATACGTAATATCCGTGTAAGTTTACGATTGAGTTAAGTAGCCTTTTCAAGTTATTTCTTCAAGAAAATACTCGAAATGAACGTTAGATAAAGGTATCAAGGATAATTTAAGCATTATTGAAGAATTAGGATGCATAATTAAATTTCCCACCAGCGGACAATAGACACATGCGCACACGTGTACTAGTTCAAACAACGTGGTTATGACGATTATTCGTTTAAAACCTTTTCAAATTTTTCATCAAATCATATTTATTAACGTATTTCTTATAATTTCAATCTTTTAGACTAAATTAATTAGATGCAACCCGCTGAAATGTAAGAAAATAACTTTGAATACCCTTTAGCGTACCCCCGTTTTTAACACGATGTACAGTGTTTTTAAATATAATAATGAATATCATACAAATTCGAATTCATTTATAAATATTCTTATTTGAAGAATTATTTTAAAATCTAAAGATACTTTTTTAAAACTGAATGCTCATTTACAATAATATCAACAAAGCGTAATTTAATAGGATGTTGTTCCATACACGCTTACATGTTTGACCTCGTTTACCTGATCACCTTTATGTTCATTGTTATGCATCATCAATTCTATTGATTAAGACAAGCTAAGGTCTCTCATCAAAGGTAATGACCTGTAATCAGTGAATGATTTATGGCTTCAATATTACTTATTGAAGGGATAATTGTTTGACAGCTTGTTTTTTAAATAAAAGAACAAATGTTTTTTCTACTTTTTATTGATGTACCAAGCCGTGCATGTGTGTGCCCAGAGGATTAGACTAACTGAGACACTTCAAAGTATGAAATATGCTGCATCAGTTTAATTAAGCCCAAATATGACAGAAATATCTTTGTGAAATAGATTGCCACAATTATAAACTATAATGCCCAAACGGACATTTTTAGCGATCGATAGTTGGTAAAAAAGTGAAATGACCGTTTTATGAAAATGCCTTGAATAACAAAAAGTGGCAAACCTATGATATTTGACCGTTTGAGGCTGAGAGCAGCCAGACTTTTTATATAAATTTCGGTCAAGTCCGGAATATATGACCGTTTTGGAAGCTATGGTACAATGTATGTTTTAATGGAACAGCCCTAATACCATGAGATGCAGAAAACTTAATATCCAATGAATAATAATAATTAATCCACAGTATACACAAAATTGAACCTTATTGCAAAATCTCTAATAATCCTGGAGTTAAATGTGGTTTGTTATTTGAGGCATACCAATTTTCATGGACTTCGTTGGTATAGATGAACCAAGAATTTAAAAAGAATTACATATTTTCTTAGGCTTGCATGCAAATGCAGATCTTGACAAATCCACAAAATTAAATATCCATGAAAATCCAAGTTTCCCTCAATCCATGAAAATAAACGTCAGAATCGATAGTACTCTATTTTCTCTTAACTTACCTCCTAGGAATACTCCCTCTTGGCAGCTCAGCCTGTGTTTCCTGTATTCTGACTTTCTGGAAATCCACAAACTTTGACTTGTTTACATCAAGCATGAACCGTGACCTGTTATTACAAACTGGATTCCGACAAATTGAGGGCTGAAAATAAAATATATCAAGCATGAAAAGATGTTTTCTTTCAATTTCATCAAATGGAAAGCAATTAAATCAAGTCTGAACTATGATAAATTGTATGACATAAAACTGCAGAATAAAATAAGGCCAAGAAAAAGGTTTGTTTGACTTGCTTGCTTTGTTTGTATAAATGTTTGCTCAAGCATTGTAATTAAGATTGACATCTGCAAACAATACAAGTAGGCGGAGTTAAACCTGTGTGTAGGTAAATTTGATTATTTGATAATGTCCAATCAAATTTAAATATAATGTATACAAGTTTAAATCCGCCTTTTTATGTTGTTTTCAGATGTCAATCTTTAATTACAATGCTTGAGCAAACATTGATACAAACAAAGCAAGCCAAACAAACCTTTGTCTTGCTAGCATTATGAAAAGAGCTGTAAGGGTTATTGTAGTTGCAGAAATATGTTTGGTGAAGCCTTTTCAGAATCTAGTAAACAATTCCACTAAATTCAGATACTAAGATTGTCTTGACCTTGCAGTAAGGTTCAGCTTTTAGGTTTTGTCAAGTGCATGAAGGGATTTTCACCTCTTTTCCATTAAATAGTAATTGGGACATGTTGAAGGGTTTTTTTTTGGCATGAATGCTGCTGACAGTGATAAATTCAATTGGATATATCTCTCTGCATTATCAATGGATATTATTTGCCCAGGTTGTAAATTAAATATAAAATCTCCTTATCAACAGCAAACCTTTTTACAGAAATTCCTGCAGCCTAGATAATTTTTCAGAAGTGTACATCCAATCATTTTGTCATATATACCTGTGTATATTTAAATTGTTGTTCCACATCTTTTATAATAGTTCTGCAATCTAGGCACATGAAAGTTCCACTGACCAGTTCTGGATGGACAGGGTGGGTTCGTACAACTTGACCAGTAATTTTTAACAAGGTTCCTATCTTTGCTGTTGTCAGTTCTCTCACTCTAAAGCACATAATGATATATTGAAATTGTCAAGTGTAAACATCTATCAATAAGTACATTAAGTTAGGTCCTTATGGTCCATCAGTTTCAGGAGATGTTTTTTTTTTGTTAAAAGTTAACAGACGACAACAACAGAGGACCCTAACTAATGAGAAAATCTCATTTGACACTTTAATTGGGTTAAAAAGCCTCCAAGACAAAATATATAAAATGCTTTGAGAGTGCCATGTTGTAAAATTAGTTTTTAATACATCCCTAATGTATTTAGACAGCAAAAACAAAGCTGGCATCCCCATATAAATAATCAATATCAAAATTTCAATATTCTAAGCAATAACATGTAAATTTTATACATATTCTGCAGACAGGTTTTTAACAAATAGCCCTTTATAATGGGTTAAAAAAAAAGCATTTTTAGTTTCCGTTTTTCATGTCATAACTTTCTCTAATCAAAGCACGAAAGCGCTGTAAAGGCAGTTAATTACAGGTTGTGTGTATTTTAAGTCCAGTTATATCATTATCTTGCATAGTACAGTGTACTTATCAGAGGTGGCTTTCAGTATTTAAGATTTAGAGTTCTCTAATGATATTGAATAAGTTTTATGAATGTCATATTCTGAGCACTATATGAAGGCGATTGTTCTCACTTGTTTATGAACTAGTGCATTATGTCCAGTTTGTACCTTTTTTATCTATGTTTATAGTCAAATTAGTTATCAAAGGTACCAGGATTATAATTTAATACGCCAGACGTGTGTTTCGTCTACATAAGACTCATCAGTGACGTTCAGATCAAAATAGTAACAAAGCCAAACAAGTACAAAGTTGAAGAGCATTGAGGACCCAAAATTCCAAAAAGTTGTGCCAAATACGGCTAAGGAAATCTATTCCTTGGATAAGAAAATCCTTAGTTTTTTCATTGGCAATCATAACACATCTCCTTATTTATATAATGATCTATATTCAACGACCTCAGGTACAAAAAAAATGTATGTAACTAAACTATGATGGGAAACCTTTGACTTCTTTCTTTATATAAACTTTTGATTTGGTACCATAGAACTATGTAGAGTAAATGTACATTGCAACATGTCAACTCTTTCAACTCCAAGCAAAATTATATTTCCAAGCATAAAGTAATTTATGAATGAAATAAATGCTCCGCTGGGGCGCAGCTTGATACGACCACAGAGGTCGAACCCTGAACAGTTGGGGCAAGTATGAACACAACATTCAAGCTTGATTCAGCACTGAATTTGGATTGTAATTAAATATTTGACACAGCATAGGTTTCTGACACAGAATGAAAGTGTTCTAAGATACTTAAAAAAATTTAATTTACCTATTCAAACCATATCATTATTATTTGCTTTTATATATAAATCAGAAATAACCAATTTAAAATGGAAAATTTTAAAGAAAAAAAAGGAAAAAGAATCCCCCCCCCAAATTTTTTGAACCCCCTTATGATTCATCACCCCAAAACTCAATCCCAGCCTTCCCTTTGTGGTATGGTACCTTGCAGTATAATTTCAGAGAGATCCATACTCTTGAACACATGTTATTGTCTGGAAACTAGAAAAATGCTTGTTTTTTGGCCCCTTTTTGGTCCCAAATTCCTAAACGTTTAGGGCAATTACCCCCAAACTCAAACCCAGCTTTCCCTTTGTGATATGGAACCTTGTAGTACAATTTCATAAAGATCCATACACTTACACACAAGTAATTGCCATGAAACTAGAAAAATGCGTTTTTTGCCCCTTTTTGGCCCCTTATTCCTAAAATTTGGAGGCAATTACCCCCAAAATCAATCCCAGCATTCCCTTTGTGATATGGAACCATGTGATACAATGTTAGAGAGATCCATAGACTTACACACAAGTTATTGTCATGAAACTAGAAAAATGCTTGTTTTTTGCCCCTTTTTGGCCCCTAATTCCTAAAATTTGGGACAATTACCCCCAAAATCAATCCCAGCATTCCCTTTGTGGTATGGTACCTTGCAGTACAATTTCAGAGAGATCCATACACTTGAACACAAGTTATTGTCTGGAAACTAGAAAAATGCTTATTTTTGGCCTCTTATTCCTAAACTTTTTGGGCAATTACCCCCAAACTCAATTCCAGCTTTCCCTTTGTGATATGGAACCTTGTAGTACAATTTCATAAAGATCCATACACTTACACACAAGTTATTGCCATGAAACTAGAAAAATGCTTGTTTTTTGCCCCTTTTTGGCCCCTAATTCCTAAAATTTGGAGGCAATTACCCCCAAATTCAATCCCAGCATTCCCTTTGTGATATGGAACCTTGTGATACAATGTCAGAGAGATCCATAGACTTGCACACAAGTTATTGTCATGAAACTAGAAAAATGCTTGTTTTTTGCCCCTTTTTGGCCCCTAATTCCTAAAATTTGGAGGCAATTACCCCCAAAAATCAATCCCAGCATTCCCTTTGTGATATGGAACCTTGTGGTACAATGTCAGAGAGATCCATACACTTACACACAAGTTATGTCTGGAAGTTACAAAAATGCTTATTTTTGGCCCCTAATTCCTTAACTCTTGGTACCATAACCCCCAAAATCAATCCCCACTTTCCTTTTGTGGTATTGAACCTTATTTTAAAATTTCATTGAGATCCATTCACTTAAACTAAAGTTAGAGTGCGAAAACTAATGTGTCTTGGGACGACGACGCCAACGTCATACCAATATACGACCACAAAAATTTTTTTGCGGTCGTATAAAAAGGAGTTCTTAATTAAGAAATAAACTGATTCGCTGAGCGCAGCTGGATACACCCGCAGAGGTACTACCCTGAACAGCTGGGGCAAAAATGGACACAATATTCAAGCTTGATACAGGTCTGAATTTGGATTGTAATTAAATATTTGACATATTATAGTTTCTGAATAAATGTAGTCAATGAACTTGAAATCGGTTATATGAATTGAATTTATATTCGATTAAAGATTTCTTGCTGTTGTGCAATACACTGTTCTGTTGTGCAATACTTAATAAATCTGTTGCCAGACTATAAACAAATAAAGTTCAATTTCTTCTCAATGTCATATTTGAAATTTATGAAAATCAATAGGGAGATTACATCAATAGCTATAAATAATTCACCAAAGTTTCATGTGAACTGCTTAAAGCAATTTTCAGTTGTTGTCCAAAAACTGGAAAATCCCCCCTTTTTTAATGAATAAAACCCCATAACTCAGAAATGTAAAATCTAAAATTTATAAAATTCTAAAGGGAGCTTACGGATTGATAATTTAGTCTTAGATGCAAGATTTTTTTATCAGTTGTTAGTGGCTTTGAACTAGCTGTCAGTAACTGCGAGTACTCTCAGATTTGTACTTAGTGTCTTTTTGTTGTTTGGATGTACAACTACCCGACCACGTCCACTTGTATTTGTATTTATCCATCTGATGAGTTTAGCCTCTTTCAACTGATTTTTATAGTTCTTTCTTATATTGTATTGTTACACCACTGTCCCAGGTAAGGGGGAGGGTTGGGATGCCGCTAACATGTTTAAGCCCGCCACATTCTGTATGTACATGTATGTGCCTGTCCCAAGTCAGGAGCCTATAAAAGTGTAATTCAGTGGTTGTCGTTTGTTTATGTGTTGCATATTTGTTATATTTGTTCATTTTTTTACATAAAATAGGCCGTTAGATTTCTTGTTTGAATTGTTTTACATTGTCATTTCTGGGCCTTTTATAGCTGACTGTGCAGTATGGGCTTTGCTCATTGTTGAAGGCTGTGACCTTTAGCTGTTAATTTCTGTGTCATTTATCTCTTGTGCATGTGTGGAGAGTTGTCTCATTGGCAATCATACCACATCTTCTTTTTTATATTTACATCAACAGATATAAAAAATTCACCAAAGTCAAGGTGAGACAACAAAACTTAGTTGTAAGATCTCTGAAATTTTTTACAGGGTACGAGTTATTCTCATTGTTGGAGATTGTACGGTGACAGTAACACCTGTAACTGCTTAAACCCATTTCTTATGCACTTTAGTTTGATAAACTCACTGAATATCATACCACATCCCCTTATTTTTATATGCATTACAATTTACATGTGCATGTAATTGTAAATATATATATATCAGAACAAAATTCATTGCGTCACTTTTATTTATGCATCCTTTGGCACAATACAAGTTCTAAAATTACACAACATAAAACAACTAAATGTTATTTCAGATGAAAGTTTTGTTTCAGTTCCATTCATAGGATTTATTAGAATTTTGTATGTTTTGCCAAGTCCAATTATTCGCTCTATGTGACATAGAGACAGTTGACTAAACCACCAGGTGTCGAACATTCAAGAATTTTCAGTGTTTCTGTTTTTATTTGATGAAAAGGTTGCCTGAGCTCTAGGAGCTTTAGGTTTTATCACGGGATATTCTGTGCTGTCAATAATAATCCAAGTCGTAGGAAACTTTAATTTGAAGTTGGATGGTGAAAAATACCTGACTAAACCACTAGATGGCCAAGTGTTAGCCTCACACCACTGTTTAGACATAAAAACAATCCATGTATACACAATATTCTTAACACTAGATTCAATCTAGAATCTAGACAGTTCAAAGTTGGTTGTATGATGCCTCAATTTCATCAAAGTCATAAAAAAACTGATTTTCAACTGACACCCTATCAATTTGAAAATATACGTATCTCAAACAATGTGCTGCTGGACCAAGTGTGGTCAAAACAAATAAAAATTTAGTATACCAGACTACACGAATGAATTTTATTTTTACAGGACATTCGGTCTGGTAAACAACCTAGCTTTACCAGACCGAATGAAATTTTACCAGACCAATTTTTTTACATATAATTGTATATTATCCGACAAAATACAACAAACTTATGACTTGTTGTGCCCTACTCCTCTCCAAAATGCACAAAAACAAAGTCATGTGACAAGAGTGTATATTTCGATGAAAGTTGTGCACAATTGCTTGAATGCATTTCAGTGATAAAGAAAAGTAATGTAACATTTTATTGGATTTTGACATGAAAATTATTTGTGAACTAAAAATAATTTAGAGTTTCTGTATAAAATATTTCCTGAATCTTCTTTCTTTTTCTTATATCTTTTGGTTTTCAATTCTAGTGTTTATATTTCATAGCTGTATTTTGTGAACCTGCTTGGATTTTTTATTTTTTTATTTATTGTATTTGATCGGCAAAACCCGGAATAGGCCTTATCCGTTCCCGGAATCTGATCCGGTACTGTCTACATTTCCGGTTGATGGCAGCCATTGTTGTTTTTGTCAGTCAGATATGTTTTTACTCGGATTTACACATTACTTGTTGGCGATTTTCGGCATAAAGCTAGCGGTTGAACAAAATAAACATCGTTGTCATGAATAATAAAGATGAAAATGAATTTCGAGATCGTTTGGGTATTTTGCTCCCAAAATTGGGAAAAATGTAGGGTTTTTAGAAAAATCCATGAAAAAAACAACACCGGACATTCGGACCGGAATTCAACAAAATTTTACCAGACCAATCCATTATTCACCGGATTTGTCCGACGGTCCGACGAATTTCGTGTAGTCTGTATACAACTCTAAACCGGTATAAAAATGCATGGCTGTGTCAAGTGTCTTCATTTCAAAATTCTCTGCGGAAAACATAGGCATTGATGGTGTTTGCGTAATTCCATCTGTGAAGCTCAACATTAGCTCGGCAGTTGGTGGTGGACAGTCATAAATCCTTTCTGCAGTATGAATGACTTCTTCAGGAAAACCAACTTTACAATCAAAACTTTCCTCTAGAATTCTACTACAATATTCATCGAGTTTAGTTCTTTTATTTTCACAGGAAACTGCCCTGATTTTTCTTTTTGCAGACGATTCAGTCTCTTGCTTGGTCCGGGAAAATAGGCTGGGAATTGCAGTAGACTTAAGTCTCTGTATGGTGGGTTTGCGCCCTGAAAAAGGTTATAAAACATTAGTTTTTTTATAATTAAATGAACTTCCATTAGCAATGTATACTTTGTACTACCTGGCGAAATATTAACTAGATTTATTCATTACAAATCCAAAGGACAAACAATGAGAGACTTATGCAACAAACGTACATTGTTTGTACCTAAATAACAATAATATAGATGAGAGCATGTCATTGTTTTGTTCCTGTTAACAATGTCATTGATATTTTTCAAGAAAGTCTATGAGGCATAGCTTATGCATTCCTGTCATTACTACATTAGCATAATTACTGCTTAAATAATTCTCAGTATGATATACCTCTTGTAAGAAATCATTATAATTGTTACAATTTGTAGCAATCACCAAAAAATCTCAAACAGATCACATTGAATCGTAATCCAAAAAATTATGACGTCTTGAATTACCCACCCCCTTTTATTCTAAAACGATAATTGCGGTTGTAAACAGACTTTGGTTTATTCGCATGGAGATTACATATATAACTATATATTTCACAAAGAAAATAGAGTTTTACCATGAATAGTTTCCTGCACGTAGTCTTTTTCAGTAAAACGTGCCTTGCAAACAACAGCTGATTGAGATGGACTCCACGATATCATCGTGTTCTCGTCCAATCTGCGTATGGGCCATGGCGTTGATCCAACTTTTCCTTCTTTTTAAGTCATTTGGAAATGCATGTCCTCCTCTTAAATGACATCCAGGTACACAACAACAAGTACTTGGCATCGTTAATTAAAAATATAACTGAAATAGTTGCACAGTGCAGAAACCGGAAGAAGAGGAACAGGATCCGCTACCACGGCGCCACCTATTCAGGAACGATAATTTGCTACTTTATATAACTGCGAAAATAACGTTAGACGGGTTCACGTGCATAAACAGAAATGCGCTTTAAATTGTATAATATAATTCATGTTCAGTCGACCTTTAATTATTATATCAACGACTGAAATGATTTATAAACATCTAGATTGCAGATAACACTCGAAATTAACCCGAGCTCTTTCCACACGGAATTCAAATAATTCTAGTTTGTCAATCGGTTGACTGCTTATAATGCAAAATACTAATATATCAAAAGTTTTTAAAACTAACAAAACACAATGATCGTTTCTCTATTTCCCAATGTAAATGAAATGAAACAAAAAACATTTTATATCGCAATAAGAAGAGGAGAGAATTCAACATTTCCGGATCTACTTGGAGTCTAATGACCCCCCACGTAGATAAGTTGGATATCGCGGAAGGAAGGATTAACCCGGCAACTAGAAAGGCATTAAAGCACTGCCTTTAAAAACTGATTATAAGAAATTACACAAAAATAATCTATGAAAATTATTTAACCTGACAAAGAAACTCCAAATAAATATGAGAACTCACTTTAGTCTGGTAGGCACATCTGTAAAACTAACATAAAACTCTTTTGCAGGTGGAATTTGTCCCCAATCCTTGGCATAATTTCTGACTGCTCTACACAGATAGGGGTAAACTCTAGACAAATAAAGAAACAAATAATTATTTTGTAAACATAATCAAACTACCCAAACTGCAAACAGACAAAGGCAGCTGTAATGATAACAGGCCATAGTCATTTTTAGTTGTACTTTGTAATTGCCATGGTGGAATAAACAGAATTTCTATTTAAATTACAAACTCATAAAAGTTACCAGACTTAATTTTGTACGAAATATTTATGTTTCGTCTACAAAAGACTAATCAGCGACGCAATGTAAACTGCTCTGTTATCTAGTGGACAGCCAGTACACAAAGTGACTTACAATTACAGTGTTCCTGTCTGTCTGTCCAAAATGAAAGGATGGCTGGCACTTGGTGCCTTAACCCTTCCCCCCTTCAGCTTAAAAAAAAAACAGTAAAAGTGACGCCACCAAAATTCAAACTTGATCTGTGTATTGTTGTAAAAAGCATTGTGTATAAGTTTCATAACATTTGGTTGAGGCAAACTTGTTAGAGAATGGAAATGAAAAATTTTACAATTTTTCCATTTATAAAGGGGCATAACTCTAGAACGGTTAAAGTGACGCCACCAAAATTCAAACTTGATCTGTGTTTTGTGGTAATAAGCATGGTGTACAAGTTTGATAACTTTTGGTTGAGGCAAATTTAAGTAAGAGAACAGAAACCAATTTTGGGACGTACGTACAGATGGACAAGGGTAAAGCTTCAGCGGGAGCATAAAAACTTTTCATATATCTTTCAGTGTATCTGGTAAAATTGTTTACCTGATTGTGGTTTGCCACTGGATGTTAAGCAATATACACTGATTGTGGTAAAACTCTAATTAACGGATAATTTTGAAATCCAGGTACAAATATATCTATCCTTTCTACAGTTATATCACCTCTGTTTGTGATTGGCTTCTGATAGCATTTCCCATTCAGGGAACTGATAAATACAATACCTTATATTAGTTACTGACCTGTAATATTCCTCCAGTATCGTTACAGCCAATTGTTGGTTGAACTTCTCCACGTCTTCATAACTAACAGTCAATGTGTTCCTTTCAGGTCTGATTAACTCCTGAACTTCTGATAAATACTTTTGTTGGTCGTCAACTTGAAATCTGAAATTAACAACACTTATCTTTTAGAATCCTGAATAATTAACAATCATTGCAAAGTTTTATCAGACATTTTCAAAAGTCTGGTTAAATTTGGTTTTGCACAGTTCAGTAAGATTTGTTCTTACTATACAAATCCTTGGTTCCTTATAGCACCAAATAATCAATAAAAATAAGAATTTTAACATTACTTTATCTACCAATTGCCCAGTAAAAAGGTTCAACAAGTACACCTAATATTTATATAATAAAGCGCTTCTTACCAGTTCCGCAACAATATGAAAGACCTTATCATTAACTCTTGTAATAATGTATATATATATGAAAATAATGGAATTAATGGAATTAACTATTGTAAAATAAATGAAGAATGTGTCCATGGAACACAGATGATGCCCTCTCTTGTATATAACGTTATAGAGGTCACAACTAGAGAACTGTAAAAGTGACCCCACCAAATTCGTCTTGATCCATGTTTTATGGTAATAAGCATTGTGTACAAGTTTCATTACATTTGGTTGAGGCAAACTAAAGTACGGGAACGGAAACTTATTTTGGGAAGTACATACGTACCGCCGTGGTGGACTCATAAAAAGGTTAATGCTTAATTCAACTGTAGAAGACTGACAGGCAAATTTAGCAAAGGGCATTTCTACATGTAAATACTTATTATATAGAATTGTTTTTTCCCCAATGGAATCCTTATTTTTCAACCCACAAAAAGATGACGGAAAATTACAAATCAGGGTTAATATTCATATTACATGTATTACATTAACATGTTCTTGTTTTGAATGTGTATTTAATTTGCTGCTGGACATTGCAAAGTCATCCATCATCAATTCTCAAATGTCATAGATCATGTAGATATATTAAATTCAAATGCATTTTATGTTTCAGGAAATTAAAAACTTTACTGGATTTTGCTGTCCTCCACTGGCTCCAGAAGGTACCAAAATAAACATAGTTGTGAAAGATTTTTAAAAAGCTCCATTCTATACATGGACAATACACACACAATAAATATATGCACAACAATAGGTGGTATAAACTGTGTAACCAAGTGTTTTTATTTTGCCATCTTCTGCAGACTGGAAAAAATGCAGTCATAAGATCCAGGCAAGAACTTTTAAAACATAAAATGCACAGAACTTTTATTATAACATGAGGGTACCCAAATTGCACCTATTTTGACAGTTTTTTCACCTATGTTTTTTTATGATCTAGACAAAAGTTTCCATTACGTTTTTATTTTGTAGATGTATCATTATTTACTATATGGTTCCACCAATTTAATTTTGAATCCATATTGAATCATAGAAAAATGGGTTTGAACAGACCTCCAAACGATCCATGGTTCTGTAATGAGGAGTACCCAAATTGCATTCATGCTTAAATTCACATCCTTAAAAGTCAAATAACAGATCGTTTGTTTTATTTCTTCAAATATTTTGAACAATTTGACATTAGTCCATGCTTATTGTTCATTTTTTAAGAAATGAATGCTTGTAACATATTTTATTTGGGGTAACACGAATGACCGAATAACACTTGAAATTTTAATATTAGCACATATTGGTGACTTTTAAACCTTGATTATTTTAAATAATATTATATTATATGTGTATTTTATAACTTAAAAATGATTAACAGAAAGCAGGTAAGTTCATAAAGATCGTTTTAAATTGAGTGTGTACATCCAACATGGCGACCATTGTGATTTCCTTGGTCGCCATGTTGGATGTACACACTATATTTAAAATAATCTTTATGAACTTACCTGCTTTCTGTAAATCATTTTTAAGTTATAAAATACATAAATAATATACTATTATTTATTAATCAATGTTTAAAAGTCACCAATATGTGCTATTATTAAAATTTCAAGTGTTATTCTGATAATAACGGTGTTATTCGGGGTTGCACTAATGACAGGACGATTGCCCGGATAGTGACAGGACGATTGACCGGATGAGATATAAATAGTCATAACTTTTTTGTTATTCGGTAGATTTTTTTAATATTTGTAGACCTTAGAGATATTAAACTATATTTTATGAAAATAAAATAAAATATATGAAAAAAAATATTTTTGAGCAAATAAAGTTTACCGGACGGATTTCACACTCGCCGATATACGCTATACATATATTCAACTGGTCGACAACAGGTGTTAATATCTCTTTTGTTTTACAATATTTGTCAATGAAATTGAGGAATCTGTGAGAATAATAAATATATAATACGAAAATATAAACTTTATAGTAAACAAAAATGTTTTTCTGCAAAAAAAGTTGACCGGACGGTATTGACATTCGCCGATGTACGCGTTGATTATATTGAACTGATCGACAAAAAGTGTTTATATTTTTTTTGTTTTACAATATTTTTACATGAAACTAAGAAATATGTGAGATCAATTTATATATGATATGAAAATATAAATTTTATAGTAAAATAAATTGTTTTTCTTCAAAATAATTTGACCGGACGGAATTAACATTCGCCGATATATGCTTTAAATATATTGAATTGATCGACAAAAAGTGTAATATTTTTATTGTTTTATAATATTTTTTCATGAAATTAAGGAATCTTGGAGATCAATAAATATATGATATGAAAATATAAACTTTATAGTAAAAAAAAATGTTTTCTTCAAAAAAAGTTAGCCGGACGGATCCATGTGATATGCCAAGAGCAAAAGGTTATATAAATCGTCTTTGCTCAGTCTTTCTTCCTCATTGACTTTCCTTACTAGGTTCTCAACTTGTTTTACATTTCTAGCATTTAACACTCCTTGGTGTTCACCAGAAACTGAACCATTTGATATGTTTTCCCTGTAAACATCCATGGCAGTTTTGTCACCTGACTTTATGTCATGTTCTATTTTTCTTAATACAGAAGGAGCAGTGCGTGTATACTCAGGGGGATGTGACTTTTTGCTGTTCCCATGGCCAACGGGTACATACACCGTTTCATCTCCCTCACAATGCACAAGTATTAAGCTTTTGTTACTTTTGAAACTATATGCAGTTTTCTTAAACTGTAAAGAACCAACTGGTCTTTTTCTACCGTTTGTATTGTCTGTTGTTCCTGGTAATCGGATTTTGTAAAAATGTTTTTTAAGAACATCATTACCAATGGTGACTGATTTTGTATCATTATTTATCCACAGATATTGGTCACATTTCCAATCTTCTGCCCCAGTTTGAAACAAGTAAACTTTGGCTTATAAGGGGGAACATTCGATGTACGAGATGTTTTAGGATTTATTAAAATATCTACTATTTCTGTTTGATGTAATACATCTGTATACATATAGACAATTGACCCACTGTCCATTTTGATATTTTTATTCTTAATTGGATTCTAATTGCCAACTGATTATATAAGGTAATTCAATTAAATGTATTTGATGTCTCAGGTGTGAAAACTTTAATGACATGTTATTTGGCTTGATTAGTGATTACGACAAGTGTCAAAATTAGATTAATCTAATTAAATATAAGTACTTATAGTGTGCCGTGGTGAACCCACTCAAATCAACATTTTGGGCTCAAAGTTTTTACTATAAAGTTTTTATTTTCGTATAATATATTTATTAATCTCAAATATTCATTTATTTCATGGACAGATATAGAAAAAAGAAGAGATATTAACACTAGTGTCGATCAGTTCAATATATTTAAAGCATATATCGGCGAATGTTAATTCCGTCCGGTCAACTTTTTTTGCAGAAAAACATTTTTGTTTACTATAAAGTTTATATTTTCGTATTATATATTTATTATTCTCACAGATTCCTTAATTTCATCGACAAATATTGTAAAACAAAAAAGATATTAACACTTGTTTTCGACCAAATGAATATATGTATAGCGTGTATCGGCGAGTGTGAAATCCGTCTGGTCAACTTTAATTGCTCAAAAATATTTTTTTTCACTTATTTTGTTTTATTTTTATAAAATATAGTTTAATATCTCTAAGGTCTACAAATATTAAAAAAATCTACCGAATAACAAAAAAGTTATGACTATTTATATCTCATCCGGTCAATCGTCCTGTCACTATCCGGGCAATCGTCCTGTCATTAGTGCTTCCCTGTTATTCGGTCATTCAAGGTACCGTTTTATTTGCCAATTTTTAAAAGATGACTTTTTGTGGATGTCCCATAGCGACGTTTCCATACATTTAACTTTTTCAGGTGAACACTTCATGTGTTGATATATACTGTGAACGTTTTGTGTATATCTAAATATATTTACCATTGTTGAAAGACGTGCATAGTGTCAAATCATAAAAATACAAATGGTTTAGTCTCTAGGAAAACTTGCAAGATTTCCGCTGCTATTTTTGATAAATAGGTGCAATTTGGGTACTCGTGCAATTTGGGTACCGTGACGTTATATCTAGCATGCCTTTAAACATTCCTACATGCACCAGTTTGTCTAAGATTTTGTGTTGAAAACAAGGCCATACTTTTAATATTTGTTAATTTCCTGTATACCATCGTAAAATATGATATAGAAGTAAGTTTTCCTTATCAATTTTTCAAAGTTAAGAAATCATACTCCTCTAAAAAGTCTTGAAAGAGTTTTTGGCATCTTTCTCCAATCTGATCTTTGACTTGATTTGTAACGACTGCCTGCTCTGCAACATCCATGACTTCCTGAACGTTTCTTGCAATGAATGTTTACAACAATGAAGATTTTCCCGCCAAAGGTACACGTGGTTCATATCACATGATTCGACAATTAAATTGAATAGTCTACCCTTTGGGAATTCGGATAACCTTAGGGTTCTTGGTGTTGTTGTAAAGGTAAAGACAGTAGACAAACTAGTAGCTTTTCAAAAAACGTGCCGTCTCGTGAATACTATATAATATATTGAATATAAAAATTGCTTTGGCATAACATGGATTTCGTATTTAAGTAATTTGTTAACTGTCAATGTATTATCTCACTAGTATAAACAAGGATTACTATTCAAATCATTGGCATAATCGAGGGTCTGGATGGGGTTTACAGAATAAAGCGCCGTGTCAAAAAAAAATAATGAAAAGAGACAAATAAGCCGGAAAAAAAGAATAGCGAATAATGAAATATTATAAAAAGATAACTGTGGAAAATAAAAGAATAAGGTTATATAATACCGATTGCAGAAATGAATGATGTTCATAATAAAGAAATCATATAATTACAGATTTTAACAGTAAATTAATTCTCAGTATGAAAATTTTACAGAATAAGGGCCAAGCAATGACAAATAAAATACATACATACAAGAATACAACGAATAACAATTAATTTCGATACACAATGTAATATTATAGTGTTATGAACTGGCTGTTTCTGTATTGGTTATAGATTAGACTGGTTAGCAGTATTGGCCCGAGACTCGTATAGTCGAGGGCCAATATGTAACAAAAAATTTGTTCCGGCGTGACATTTATCCGCCGGAACAAATTTCATAGGAAATATGTTCCACCGGAACTTATATCACAGAAAATATATTCCAGCACTGTAAAATTTGTTCCGGAACTAATTTTTTTGGCCAAATGTGAAATAAGTTCCGGAACAAAAATCATAGCTCCATGAATGTTGTTTCAATTAATATTAAAAAGTTTTAAATGAGTTCCTGTGACATTAGTTTTAAACGAACATGTAAATATTTCATAGAAACTAATGAATAAGTTCCGCTTAATCATTATTGCACACCGAAACATTTTCTTGTAATACTTAAATTATAATGCAAGCTAAATGCTGTACTGAGTGTACTTGCATGGTATACATTTGCAATTGAAGGCATGACTGTATATAACTATAGGATGAAGATAAGAAATAAAAGCGATGGTAATGTATCATAATTTGTATTTATGTTTTGTGCGGTATTCCTCCTTGGTTCCTGTTAACTGTCATGGGCTTGGCCCCGTGTTTTAGTCATACATGTACTTAGGACATGGCACAGTTTCAAAAGAGTGTGTTTTTTTTCTTCATGTCTTTTGATATTTATAAATGATCAAGTCACTTTGTCCTTTTCAAATTAGTACATATGTTCATCTTAAACTATACTTTTTTTCTGAAAGATTTTTCTTATTCTAATCTTTTCTGGTTCAAAAGTGCCATTTAGATATTTTTTACAGAGTATATAATTAAACATTTGCTATACTCCATAGGATCCAAACTGCATGATTTACACTTTTTATCTATTATATTATTAATATAATACTTATTTTTATAATGCACTTGAATGATAACTTTAAACTCACAGATGACAAATGCTCAGTATATAAGATAACTTGTTTAACCAGTGGAACATATTTCACAGACAAGGAACTTATTTCACCAGGTGAGGAACAAATCTCACAAACTCAGAACTTATTTCACCAGGTAAGGAACAAATCTCATAAACCCGGAACTTATTTCACTAGGTAAGGAACAAATTTCATCAACCCGGTACTTATTTCACCAGGTTAAGTGTGGAACTTATTTAATAGAGATGGAACAAATTATATAGAAATTACCTGTGAAAAAGTTCTCCCAGAACATATTTCCTGTGATATAAGTTCCACTGGAACTTTTTTCACAGGAACAAATTTTGGCTTACGAATACAGCGGATCGAGACTCTATAACAGGGCCAATACAGAAACAGCCAGTTCATAACACTTTTATCAAATGATTTCAATTCTTCGATTAAATCAAGAAACTTACTGTAAAAATGATATATATAGGAATACATATTTGAACTTGTCTTTTCGCAGTTACATGTACGATGCATTATGAAATTTCGGATTTCTTGTCCGAGTACTTAATCTATGTTATTTCAATTAATTTTATCTAGAAAGTATAAAGTAGCTAGGAATAATAATTCAGACAGGTTACTCATTCTTACTCGATCTTGAATCATCTGCGTTCTGATGATTGATCAACGGAAATTAAACCGTGATAATAACCGAAAGTTTTCTCAAAAAGGCCGTTTCAAATCGTTAGAAACGACATCCGTGCCATTTAATAATAAATTTTCTACAGTTACTACATAACTATTATAAACCTGTCCGACAAGGGTCCGTCGCCCTCAGTTCTAAAGACTGTTATAAAATAACTTTATATCTGTCTAGCATTGGTCTATTGCTAAATTGTCAAAATCATTGACGACATAGGGCTTCCGAAAAATTTTTACGAAGATGATGCGGATGGCCGTTAAACGTCCTGTGGATTTATGATTGACGAAATTATATATAGATAGTAATAAAAATTTTCTGACAATTTTGACATAAACATGATAAACACAATATCCGGTGTTTCGATACCAGCACGGGATCAATCATATACAAAATTTCTGGAATTCAACATTTTTTAAGTGAGAAGCGGCTCCTATACGCCATCGATTAACTATTATATTGTCATACAGTGTATATGAGGGTTGGGACAGGGCTGGGCGGCGAAATAGGATTATGTCTGTGCTAGGACCTCCGATAAATATATATATATATAAAATTATATAAAATTGCGGTTTTTATCCAACGCAATCATAGGTTTGAACGTTGTTTTCAATTTAGACTTGTTTATATTTTTTCGTTTGGGCTTGTATTATATTTGCCTTCGGGTTTATATGATCCGTTCATCCTATTTTGATTCCTCAAAATTCAAGAGTCTATCCTAAATTGAGGTAAATTGTATGGCTTTCCAAATACCGTTTCGATTCCTAACATCACTGAAGAGACATTAATTGTCGAAATCCGGATATGGTGTACAAAAACCTTTGCACCTTTTGTTTGCGGTATAACATCTTTTCCGCAAGTTTATTGTTTTCTGTTTAGTATTAAATTTATATTTAAGATCCATTTATTACATCGGTGATCCGTTTATTTGGCAATCGCCAATGGCAGTCAGCAGGGTTTAAGAACATTTGTTGTTCGACCTGTTAGTCAAATGCGTTTTGTTAAAATATACTTTTTCACTCTTTTGGTCTTTTGGAAAATGTTGTTTGTGCTGTATTAAATTTAGACCCCTCTAACAAGAAATTTGTTTTGCATGCACACGTATAAAAATTGCGGTTTTTATCCAACGCAATCATAGGTTTGAACGTTGTTTTCAATTTAGACTTGTTTATAAAATTATATATATATACTGGAATATCATTCTTATTAATATAGAAATATTAGGTCCCAAATAAGGAACATGTTTCATTTTACTTTTTTTATTTCAATTTAATCAATATTTTTTTCTAATGTTTACAATAAATATGTGTATAAATAGCATAGATCGCTTTTGGGGCCTCGGAGGCCGAATGGTCTAACGGTAGCCTGTCAATTAAGGTTGTGAGTTCGATCCCCGCACGTGCGCTCGACTCCAAAAATCTTAATTGACTAGGATTGTCAGTTTTCTTACCGAAGGTTGGTGGTTCTCTCCGGGCACTTCGGCTTCCTCCACCATTAAAAACTGACCGCCATGAACTATCACAATAGTGTTGAAAGTGACGTTAAACACCAATCAACTAAAGCTCTTTTGATATCCACCTGCTAAATTATAGTTTGTCACCGTGTCGGATTTTTCATTTATTCAATGAACATTAAAAAAGATATGAAAGCTATAATTCAGGACTAGGCAATAAAACATTCTTATTATCACCAATCTAATTAAAATATAGTTCTCTGATTTCTTACGAAATGAAATCAGAGAACTATATTTTTATTAGATTGTATTATCACATGCCATAATATTTTACAGTGTTTTGTTTGACTTGTGAGAGAGGGATCTATCTGTTTTTTTAAGAGTTCTTCGACTACACTACCTATTGTCTACACATTCCGTAATTGTGATCCTAAATCAATGCTTTGATTTTCGACCTCTTTTAATTATCCATTTTTTAAATGATTTGATAATGATACTAAGAAACGCAAAAATAAAAAAAAAAACTCTCCACTCTTCGAATATCCACGTGCTTAAAAGACCGTATTCCTTTCATGAATTCAACTGCCGCTAATCAAAATTCAACTTTAAAAAAATACAATTATTTCAAAGCAGGCAATATGCCTCTATAGCTAGATTATGTAACAAAAATCACGTGAATATCTACAACTATTCCGTGCATACCCACAAATATTCCCGTACATATCAACAATAAATATTCCCGTGCAGTGCCAGTAAATGACAAACCTGCGCCAAATTATCTTCAAATAAAACTGTTCGGTCATCAGTGAGTGGAAGAGCTTTTCTCTCTCCTTTTCATATAAATTTACTTGATAAAAAACAAAGCTTCATATATCGTATAACAAACTAAACGGATACCATAATGCGGTTATCAATATGTACGACAAACTGGACTTGAATCTTTCAAACTAATACAAGAACATCTACCGGTATACCGTTTCCGCGGACCCAAGAAATTCAAAAGTTTGATATACCAACATTTAGAAAAATTAATATAAAGGAGTAGGTCCGGTAAGGGCCGATTTTGGCCTAAAAATTCAGGTTCATTTGATAAAAGATTTTGGACACTTTTTAAACACTTAAGTGTCTACTTCAGTCGATTCAATTAGTTTATGTGAAAGATTTGAACTGATTTAGTCATTAAAGACGATCAAATTCAAGCTTAGATATGAAAAATCTATCAAATATGCCATAATATGTCACTATTCAGACGGTTTTTGTCAAAAATGAAAGTGGCCGCATCCGTGTTCATTCTCAACCTTTATATATGTTATGAATTATCAACAAATACAACTTACATTTAAATATTAAGAATGAACACAAATGCGGCCACTTCCATTTCAGACGGAAACCGTCTAAAAATTAACCAAAATGCTAAAATTTCGAAGATTTCAGTAATTTAGCATGACTTAATGATGCTAGTACCCGATACCTGTGCATTGTATTGTCAAAAACAGCCAATATTTATGTAACAGAAGTATTCTTCTTTCCAATAAATAGCTAAAAATTTACATTTTAACAATTTTGTAAAACTGCTATATTTTGGGGCCAAAAAGGGGTCTTACTCCTTTATTAAAATCAAACCTTGAAACCGTACAGAAACAACCATGACAATCACATAAACAAAATTTAATTAAGTTTCCCGTAAAATTTTCGTTGATTAAACGACTATCCAGACAGCGTATCCCCTAGGTCTAATGACAATATCATGGATCAAAAGAAAATACATAATTAAACTTCCTCTAATGATATCATGACTATTGCTGATCAAATACAACATACTCCGAGGTCTCATGGCAAACGCTTTAACCACAATCAACGAATTAAACATCGTTCTTATTTTACACTTGATGATCTCTTATTGGTAAACATCAATTATTATGCAAACTGGTCAAATACCAATTAGTAAATTACATGATATTTATAACAAATGTGATACAATTTCGTTTTTCAGTCCAAGATACGAGTGTACACGTACCATAACAGCTTTTTGTCACCTCGTATTAAAAACATGAAGATACTAACAGGCATTTTTCCAAAAATAAAATACATAACAAAGGGATTTATTTTATCAATTCTTCTAGCAATTTTAATGCCTCTATACCGTTCAAAACTTTATACCTCCATATTTTGATAACATAGAGTCATCTATAATTTCTTATTCGCACAAAAAAAACCCAGTAAAAGTTAAAACTGTATTTATACGTCAGTAATAGAAAACAATGCTCCAGTCAGACCTTCAATATGAGACTCTGAAACATAGAAGTTTAGATATGATCCAAATGGCCATGTAATTACAGGTGACCTAAACATCGTTCAAGACCGATAGGTTATAAACTTTCTGAAAAAAGGACCAAAATATCGTCCACCGTTGAAAGTAAATTGGAAAAAAGTGTGACGGTCGCTAGGTCATTAAAGATGCTCTTTCATCATATTGTAAACATTGGTGTAAGCGGGAGAAATCTGACAAAAAAGTCACTCGATTCTCATTTGAACAAATGTCTGAGTATTGCGGATATTGTGACATATCACATTTCGAAAATAATTAAGAAATTAATAGAAGGGTAAGTAATACGCCCATTTCAAGAATTTTATAATTTTACTGCAGAAATTTACACAAGGGAACTTACTTTAAATACATCTAATACAGACAGCAATAATTGTCCTTTTCTAGATTTGTATATTTCAGTTTCACACGGGAAACTATATTCAAGAATTTACGACAAAAGATATAATTTTTTATTCCATATTGTTAATTTTCCTTTTTTGGACGATGATGTTCCCTTGACCCATTTCCTACGGTGTGTTTTTTTTTTACACAGCTTGTTCGCTTTGTCCGTGTCTATATTCACGTTTATATTCCAATGCTTTCATAGATACAAAGATTAGGAAGTTTGGCTGTAGAATTCTTTTTAAAAACGTGATATCACATTCTAATTTTGACAGCGATGGTGTTTATAAAACTTTTAAATTTTAATACAATCCACGTAATCACATCGACCATTTGAATAAATGAATTCTTAACGGTCATCAATTTGACACCGAAGTAAAATTTAAAATATTGCTTTAATCGATTGCAACATTAATTTCGTTTTTGAAAAATTTTACAATAACTAAATATATATTGCTTTATACGCACAGTTATGAGTACTCGTGATCATTCATCTTGTCCATTCTGTTTACTTATATTTTGGCATTGCACAAGGTCGTGCGTTTCGCAGATTATTCATGACGTCTACACTAAATCCGTTGGGTGTGTATTGGTTGATACTTTAGTCTGGAAGAACATGATTTATTTATAAGTTGTAATTGACTTTTTTAACTAGCTTTCAGTAACTGCGAGTTTTCTTATATCGGTGCTTTATGTCTGTTGTCTTTATATCAGTTATTTTTTTGGTGCTTTGTACCAATCAATTGAGCTAAGCCATTTACAACAAATTTTTACAGTTTGTTATTATTGTTCCAGGTTAGGGACAGAATTGAAAGCTCACAAACATGTCTAACATGCCATATTCTTTATGTGCCTGTCTCAAGTCAGAAGCCTGTAATTTAGTGGTTGACGTTGGTTCATGTCTGTCATATTTGTTTTTCGTTAATTGTATAGTTATAAATTAGTTCGTTAGTCTTTTCGTTTTTGTTCATGGCGATGCCTTTTATGGCGAACTATACGGGATGGGATTTTCTCATTGTTGAAGGCCGTACGCCGTGACCTAGAACTGTTTATATCCACGTCATGTTTTAACTCGGGTGTATAAGTGTCTCAATGGAAATCATCCACATATCTTTATTTTTATATTTGTAATGAATGAGTTTATATTTTATGATTGTTGTAAGGAATTATACCCACAATTTAAGTACTATAACAATTTGACACTCTACGTAATGCAACCACTTGTATGAAGCAAAACAGGGGGAGGGTTGAGATCTCACAAATCATGTTTAACTCCGCCGCATTTTTGCGCCTGTCCCAAGTCAGGAGCCTCTGGCCTTTGTTAGTCTTGTATGTTTTCTAATTTTATAGTTCATTTATATGTTTTGGAGTTTAGTATGACGTCCATTTTCACTGAACTAGTACACATTTTTGTTTAGGGGCCAGCTGAAGCCCGCCTCCGGGTGCGGGATTTTCTCGCTGTGTTGAAGACCCATTGATGGCCTCGGCTGTTTTCTGCTCTTTGGTCGGGTTGTTGTCTCTTTGACACATTCCCCATTTCCATTCTCAATTTTATTATTGTTTTTTTCACATATTTTTTCCCTCAGATTCTAAAAAGCAATAAATAAGATTTACCGATATAAACGGAAAACATTGGCTTCTGTCGACATATTATCTGAAACATAAATCGTTTTTTCTATTAATCCATTTTTAATCAATAAGACAAAACCCACAAATGATTGCCGATATTTATCACATGTTACCTATCAAAGTATGACAATTATTCTGAATGATGTCATTCATTTGTTTCAAATGAGTAATTCTAACCACTGACCATTAATATTTCATACCAGTCCTAAAACCCGTTTGTGCCTCAGTCAAGAAAAATTTCTTGCATGATTCATTTTCAATGTATTTGAAGAAAAATCAATAGGTATCTTCTGCAACTGATGGAATTTGTGCATCTGCCAGGCAGACGACACACGGCAGACGACTTTCATGACGTCACGTGAATTATCCGATGTGTATTGAACATATTTGGTAAACGATGGGTCAAGGCTTGGACATCCCCAAAAGTGGACAAGACAAATTCTTTGTAAGTAGATTAGTTAATTTACGTAATCAATGTCAGGTTAATTTAGATGTCTCGATTTCGATTTTTCTTGACGCAAAATAAGTGAACCGTTATTATTTGATTCCAGGTCTATCATATCGGATATATCTCTTAATCTGTGTGTATTATGTCAATTTTCTTTCAGTGAAACATGTAATATTATGAAATGCGTTTCATATATTTTCTAAGAACCAAAACAAGAACAAATTATTTTTGACTAAAGAAATATGAATTTTGTAAAATCCATTTACGGTTTAAATGAAAAGAGACGAAAAGGGCAACATGTATTCGAAATTAAAATTAAAATTCGTGTCCTATATTTAATAAATATACAAATATTGGATTAATTACTCAGTGGATCAATGTAGTTTGAAATGCGTATCAAATATTTTCTAAGAATATGAAAAGGAAAACCAAAACAGAAAAAAAAATTTTGGCTAAAGAAATATGAATTTTGTAAAATCAAATTATACGGTTTAAAATGACCGAAAAGGGCATGCAACATGTATTCGAAATACAAATTCAAATTCGTGTCCTATATTTAATAAATAAACAAATATTAAATTACTAGTAAGAACTCAGTTGCTTAGCTTCCATTGAGGCAGTGAGGCAACTACCTCACCAAATTTATACCAACAAAAAATAGAGAAGGATAACAAGAGAAACTTTACAACGTTTGTTCTATACTTATATTTGATGTTGAGGCAGGTCTTTGATTGTTTCTATTTTATTTCTTCACAACTTTTTTATGCTTGGTCCAATTTAAAGCTTGGCCTATTTAATAGACACATGTGTATTGTTGAAGACTGCATGTTGTGCTTTAAATATCTTTTGATTATTTAATGTTGGATTTTGTATCATTGATGTATGACCCGCATCTCTATTGTTCGTCTTAATTCCCTGTTCCGTTTAACAGTGGTCTGAAAATTTATTTCTAGAGCAACTTTCACTCAATTGCTTAGAAATATTCATTATATGAAGATGGTTACAAACATTTGGCTTCTCTTCCCTATACACACTTATACCTTAGTATCAACATATTAAAAGACAGAGTGATATAATTTGTGCAATATTTCTATCTAACAGACCCTTTTCACAGTGGTAGAGCAAATTCCCCCCTTTTCATTCAGGTTGACCAATTTTTCGGAACTTCCTTACTGCATTTATTGTTGATTTATTCTCGATCTTGAGGGTCGTGTGTAGAAATATATTCCTTCTTGGACCCATCAAATTGTGTCAGATGTTTAAGTTCACAGCCACGTCCAGTCAGAATGGGAACCCGTAAATCCCATTTGCCTTTTGTAAAAAGAGTGCAACGCTCTCTGCACATTAAATATTATAATTTTTTGCTAGTCCTGATATGCCTGAGTTGTTTGTCACATGATGGTAAACAATTAAATAATAAAACCTGATAAAAAATCTACTTTTTTAATCTTTAACTGATAAAACCCTTTTGCCTCGACAATCGTGTCCCTAACCATCCAACCTCAAGCCGCATCTTGGTTCGTGGACCATGCTGAACCATGACTCCCGAGCCTATTTAAATCCTTACTCGAAATAAGGGCCAAGCAACATGACTAAGTACTATAGTTCACATGACATGCCCCCAAATTTCGTAGTCAGCTTCATCGGTTTACACTTAACGTAAATGGTTTGGATAAATAAAAACATTTATTACATTGGTAGCAATGAATTACATTGATTTCCAAGTCAAATAAAAACCGATAATTTCACATGTGAAATAAACGTGGTTATTTCACTCTCTGACGTCATACAACAAAAGGCGTTGTCAAGACGTCGATAACGTCGGATCAAAACAAATTGTGAATGCGTAGAAAAAAGATATAGTTCCTTACATTTTCTACATTAATTTCATTAAAAAAAGCCATTTGCCAATGTAATAAAAAGAATAACTAATCAAAGAATTCAAATATCGAAAAATATTCAACTCGTGACCGAACAACACTGATAATTAACTCATGCGCTACGCGCATTCGTGAATTAATGTGTTGTTCGGTCACTCGTTGAATATTTTTCTCTATTTGAATTCTTCGATTAGTTATTCTATAAATATTCACTCAGAGCAGGTACACATCAGACCAACATCTTTAAAGAAAGTTGTATCTTTAATAAACTGAACGAATATTTATTTAAGAATTCTGTATCTAAAATTGAATTTTCTAGTGATAAAGTCATGATATAATTGAACCGAAATACTGGTAGAAGAGATGTATACCTTTTATCTGGGGACGAAACACCGTCATTAGAGGGACTGTTAATGTATACGAACACAAATGTCTTTTTTCCCATTGCGTATAAAATACCTACACAATCGACTACATGGCAGCCATTAGAATATGCTTCTCTTTTCGTGGACTTGTCTTCAGTTATTCAGTTATTTGATACAAAAAGAAATTTTTGTTTAATAATGGTTGATTTATTCTGAATAATTGATGTTTGGAGAGAAATATATGTACAACAGAAGTACACTAAAACGTAAATAATTATATAATTGTAATGTAAGGGTAGTACTTTGGAATGCATGCAGTTCCAAAGATATTGGGGAGATATTATTCAGTGGTATTGAAATTGTATTATTTTCTTATATCAAGGAACGCTCGTTTATTCCAACATTGATTGTAGTCTCCTGAGTGGGTTACACCAAGCATACATTGCCATCAAGTTAAATGGAACAAGCTCAAGCAGTAAATTGAACAATATCCAACGAATAAAATATTTCCTCCAACTAGATCTTCTTCCAAAGACTAATCGGATAATCCTAAAATATATTAGATTAAAATGTTTCATCTGGAAAGTGTAGTTGGTGTTTAAGTTTTTTTTCATAATTTTTTAATATATTTATAAATGTATATGTATATATATATATTTTTTGGATGGGGGAAGGGTATACGTACAGCATACTTACCAGACGAAAAAAACGTTATTAGATCGCTAAACCATTTAAAATCATATGCATATCTAGTGGTAGTTCGGAGATATTATATACACAACGATCGATGCAAAAATGTTATAACCAGAAAACCCTTAAGGATGTCTGCTACTCATTTTCAAAGTAATATGTTCTAAAAGACTGTAATAAATTGATAGTATATATGTATCAGAACTAAACAAGCAGAAAAAATGGAAGGTCCATGTCCTTGTTTTTGAGATACATACATGCAAGCCATTGAAAATTTGGCGGGAAATAATTCTCTCTGGACTTTTCATACATTTATTATTGGCACTTTTTTTTTTATTTCAAAACCTATGAAAAATAACAAGGGTTTTGTAAGATTTTCAAAAATGGCCTTTTAAACTAATTGGAATATTACTAAGGAGCGCCATGTGAAAGTCTAATTTAAATTACCTACTTGTTTTCAATTTTAAATTTTGTTTCAAAGGGGGAACAACTCTTAAGTTTTTGGTTATTGTCTTGAAAACTATTACAAAAAAAAGTTGTGCAGTAAAATTGACCAGAACAGTAAGATCTTCAAATAAGTTTACTTGGCCAAAATCGTTAAGTGACCCTTTATAGGAGTAATTGCCTTTAAATAATGATATTTACTCTTTTTGGTATTTAGTTGATAGAGAGAATCTTTCGATGGTTAAAATGTTCAATAGAATAAGTTAACATGGACGAATGGTAAATTGGTTCCTTAAATGAGTAATTGCCCTTGAAAGACAAATTTTGCTAATGTTTTTTTTTGCGTTTTTTTGCAGTAACTTTAAAAGATAAAGAGAACTTATTAAAGCAATAGTGTTCAACAAAATAAGAACTACAACAAGTCAACATCATTGAACATGGCCGGAATTGTCAACTAACTCCTTTTTTCTGATTGACCATTTTTACCCATTTTATGATTTTTTTTGCAGAAATAAAGAATGAAAGCAACAATATTTTTTCAAAAATGGTCAGCAAAATAAGATCTACAAATAAGTCAATAATTAAAATCGTCATTTTACTACTGCGAGGAGTTATTGCCCTTGAATTGTGATTTTATTTGCCCATCTTGTAGTTTATAGAATCTGATAGAGACAAACAGTAAAACACTAAGATCTATAAATCAGTCATCATATAGATATAAGAAGATGTGGTATGAGTGCCAAAGAGACAACTCTCCATCGTCAACTACTCCTTATGTAAGTTATTTTACCTGAATGATGATTTGTATCCATTTTTGCATTTTTGTCAAAAACTATAGGAGTTAAGCATGTTTTAAAAGAGAGAAGCTTAAACAAATAAATAAGCAAAATAAGAGCTACAAGCAAGTCAACATGGCCAAATTGTCACACTAGTTATAGGATTGAATGCCATTAAATTACGTTTTTATCACAAAAACTTTAATCGATAGGCATAAACTTTAAATAGTTAAGTTAAAATGAACGTCAATGCAAGATCTTCAAAAATGCTACTAAATAAGATCTACAAATAAGCAAACATAACTGATTGCAATAAAGGAAAAGAGTAAATATCAAAATGGTATATTTTTTTACCATGAGAGCGATTTAGGCTCTGGTGAGCCTCTTGTTCGATATTTTCGAGATTAAATAAACTTCATTGACGTAAATTGCTCGACATAAATTTAAAATAAAACAATTATAATACTTCATAAACCTATGTGATATATAAGTACTATACTATAATAATTGATATTCACTTTGCCAGGAAAGATTGATTATTGCCACATACATTTTGAAATAACATCGATTAATGCTCACATTATACAATTACAATTAGTATTGTGTTGTAAAATGTACTGTATGACCTTTACTTTCCGTTTTCCTAGAAAACGAATCACGCAAAAGATATTATGTAAACATGAAGCCTTTCCTTCAAAGTTGTAAACCCATCCCAGATCTGTGAAATCGGTACTTAACTATTCTTAATTACTGAGTAAAACTGAAAATCTCACAAGCCTTCCAAGTCACGACTAATTAATTCATAAAATGCACGACTTGATTCTACTTATTTAAAGATTAAA